CTATTCCGCTTGGATGTGGGGGGCGGAGTGGAGGGGTGCAGCAGACCCCCCAATATGCCCATGGCATTTGGGATTTTATTGCGCAGGTTGCCCAACGGGCAAATAAAACCATTTATGAAATGGATAACATGCACAGGAAGCATACTTGCCTCGTGCATCCGGCGCTATAGTTCCAAAACAAACCACCCGGCTCGATTTTCCATCTCCCTGTCAACCTTTGGGCTGGTGAGCTGGTTCCATCCTTGGAGCTGTTCAACTCGAATGGCAAGGGTTCACCAAATGCACTTCATGCAGGAGTGGCATGGGGTGTACGTGGAACTTTTTCTGGCCGTCACGGGCGAGTTTGGAGACTTGGTGACCGTTTCTTCACGGCTGGTGGGGAGCTCGACCGCCCGCACTAGCCTTTGTCGAAAGTATACCAAGATCGAGCAGGCTGCAGGCCGGGAGCGAGGAGCATCTCCGAAAAGCACTGCCTTGCTTGCTGCGGATATGTGGACTACAGGTCTTACTTTGGTGAGCTCTGCTGGTTCTAATCACCGAAAGAGAGGAGTGGCTTGTGCGGGTGAGATTCTTTTTATCTGCCCCCAGACGACTCATTACGTGCCTCTACCCTCCTCCTGGTCATTGAGCACGTATCGAGTAACACGCCGTTTGAGAAGGACGTTAGAGGCAAAGGAGGCTACCACGAAAGGCATGATAATGTATGATCCATTGTCATCGCCATTCTCCGCCTCATCGCTTCTGATTCTTGCAATCTTCGATTTCGCGTCCCTGTCATCAACAACTGTTGTCATTCTCTCGAGATAACACAACCGCCTCTCTTAGTTGGGTTCCTGTGATCGCAGGGCAAGCTCAAGTTGGCCAGCTGTGTGGGGACAATAATGATCTTTCTACCAGACAGCAATGCACTTTTCAATACTTGTTAAATACTTCACTATCCAGTGTCAAGTGCTCTCTAGCCTCGTGCTCTGCATTTGTTACGATACAAATATTTCTGTCCCCCTCCCATTTCAATATCTTTGCTCCTTCACGTCTGCCGTCGATTTTATTTTCTTATTATTCTTCCATTATTGTTTTCTGAATCGGGTTTTCGATTTATTTGTGCTTGCCGAACTTTTCAAAAAAAAGCACAATGACCTCCCACCATATGAACTTGGAGACGGACCGTTTGCCCTGCGTGACTAATACTTCTTTACTACAGAGCGATGACTCTAGGATTTGTGTTGTGATGGTTGGGTTACCAGCCCGTGGGAAGAGTCTAATCGCTGGCAAAGGTTCGTTCATCAAGCTGCATTTGTGACTCTCCATATGTACGCTTCTCTAACATCTAGTCAGCTTTGCGATACTTGGCTTGGGTCGGGATTCCCGCGAGGATATTTAATGTTGGCCAGTATAGACGACAGGACACGCCACGACCAACCGCTGCATTCTTTGACACATCCAATCAGGACGGAGAGAGGCTACGACGGGCTGCCGCCGAAGCGGCGGTGGCGGATATGTTGCGTTGGTTTTCCGAGACAGATGGACAGGTAGCAATACTAGATGCTACTAATTCTACGAAAAGTCGTCGGCAATGGATATACAGGAAATGCATGGACGCAGGTATCGAAACGCTGTTTGTCGAATCGAAATGCGATGACGAGGAGCTTATCATGAACAACATTCTCGAAGTCAAGACAACATCACCAGACTATGTCGGCCAGGACCCAGAACTGGCCGCGCAAGATTTCAGAAATCGCATCCGCAACTACGAAAAAGTTTACCAGACGATTGATGAGGATGAGAAAGATTACGCCTATGTCAAGCTCATAAATGTGGGCTCGACTGTAATCATCAATCATATCAAGGATTATCTGTCCAGTCGCTTGGTTTATTATATTCAAAACCTCCATATTCGACCTCGCTCGATCTGGCTTTCTCGAGTAAGTCTATCCTAAAAGCCATTCACTACCTCCTTTTGGGACAAGCTGAATAACATTATGTTTTTTCTAGCACGGAGAGTCCGAGTACAACCTTCTAGGCAAAATTGGTGGCGATGCAGACATCTCTTCGCGCGGAGAACAGTATGCGCGCGCTCTCCCGCGACTTCTCGAGGAGTCTGGTGTCCCTCCCGGCACCAAACTGGTAATTTGGACATCCACCTTAAAACGTACGATCCAGACGGCACGCCACCTCGCTGCAGAAACCGGATATGATAAGCTAGAATGGAAGGCCCTGGATGAACTCGACTCGGGGGTCTGTGATGGCCTAACATACGAAGAAATCGCCGAAAGGTACCCAGAAGATTTCAAAGCTCGAGACGACGATAAATACAACTACCGCTATCGAGGCGGCGAGTCGTACCGGGACGTCGTCATTCGGCTAGAGCCCATCATCATGGAGCTGGAGAGGAGCGAGAACGTGATCATCGTCACTCACCAGGCCGTTCTTCGGTGTATCTACTCCTACTTCCTGAACATGTCGCAGGAACAGAGTCCGTGGATGGAGGTCCCTCTCCACACGCTCATCAAGTTGACGCCCGGCGCGTACGGGACGGAGGAGAAACGTTTCAAGGCGAATATCCCGGCCGTCTCGACATGGCGAGGTAAAGGTACCTCTGCGAAGCACCAGACACCGGGTGAGCAGCAGCAGTGAAGGCTTCTTTTCTCTTGACACCAGGCTTCTTGGAACCCGGGGGATTTCTTGAAGTCGAGCTCACTCTATGTATATCTCTTTCCTTCTAGTTACGTTGGCGTAGCATCGAGGCCTCCATCCTTTTCTTTTAAGTCCTATCTTAAAACCCCTTTTAAAACCCCTTTTAAAACCCTCTCCCTCCGCATCAATCTTTAAGACACGACCGACTCCAAACGTTGCAAAACTCTCCACTTTTCCTTCCCATCCTTTCCCCTTCCCCACCTTAAACAATACATCAGATACACCATACTCCCCTCCCCAAAACCTTTTACATTCGCATTTTCTCAGCTAAAGATTTTTTTTCCTTTATATTTATTCCATTTTGTTTTACTTTTCCGGGCGGAAAAAAGACCAAAAAGAAAGCAGGTCCAGACTCTCACTCAACCGGCCAGACATTGGAACGGCGGATCTTTGCATCGTATCGCGTCAAAACAAAGGAGGCAGAGATATGTATAAGTATATATATATATATATTTATATATATTTATATATATCTGCCACATATGTGTTTTATAAAACGGGATACATGCGTTTTGAGATGATTGATCGATTGGTATTTTAATTATTTCCCCTCTTCTTTCTACCTTCTTAGACGCGCTATGGCGAGGGCGTTTCGAGCGTGGAATTGGGCTATGGAAAATAGATTAGAGAAAATTGGCGGACGGGAGGGCGGTTTTTGTTCTCTCTCGCTCTCTCTCTCTCTCTCTGTGGATAGACATCACTGGACGCTAGCCTGGCTTTTGTGCGCAGGGGCTGGGTGTATCTCGGTAGGCGTGTTTGGTGTCTCGCTTGATTTTCTTTTTAGTTTTTTTTTTTCTATTTTCAATGGGGTTCCTGGCTTTTTGTTTCAGTTGGGATGGCTGATTGTCAGAGTGGTGTGTGGTATATTACGTTCGGTTTACGGGATGGGTTTTAAAGTCCTTCTCATAATACTCAACTCATGCTATAAGTAATTGAAAATATATATATGGAGAATAATATTTGAAGCGTAAAGACTAAATAAAGAATGCCAATCAGCGCCATGGTGGCGGCGAGCATGGATCCCCCATACAATGCTGAAGCACGCCGCCCTATTTCGTTGGCGTAGAGGAAAGCAGAGATTGAAGCGACACAGAGAAGAACTGCAGATACGCTTGATGCAAGGAAGGATGTTGTCGACGAGAATAATCCGGCTTGTTTTGAAGAGCAGTGGAGCATACTGTACTCATCGGGTAAGCTTCGCTGTGGCGATTCGGGCAGGTAGAATAGAGATACTGCGGAGCCTGCATGGCGATCGGGGATCGCCATGAAAAAGCTGGACTGTACGCGGACAGTTCCGTAGCATGAAAAGCAACCAATTACGAGGCCTGATGTTATGAAAAGCTGAATGAGAGAAGCGAGCAGCCCGCGATGTTTGGTTGCAGAGATTTCACATATGTAGCTGTTGGGGTGAACAAGGTCAGCGATATCACTTTTTGCCCCTCGATGAGGCAGTTTACCATTGCTATTAGGACCGTTTGGAAAAGGCCGCAGGTTCATACACGACTAAGGTGCTCAAGAACAGTCCCTGTCCAATTTCGGCAATCAGCCGCCTGAATATAAATACCCCTAGGACACTTGCACCAGCCTCGACTGTAGCGCCAACGGCAAACAGAAGTGCACCAAACGCTGCATGGTCGTCACAGGGCCAATGACGCCAGTGTCAAGTCTGAAGAATAACAGTTAGCTAAGTAGATATGTAAACGGGATTATCCCCAGTTAGGCGTGTATCCTACCCATTGAGAATGCCCCCTGTGGATGTAATGACTGCGGCAGTGACCTATCGCGGCGGGAAATTGATGTGAGGCAAATTAAAACCACGCATAACTTGGTTTTGAATCCCAACCAAGCATCCATGGCGGGGAAGAAAACTTCGCATTACTTTAAGGCAGACGATCAATTTACCATGCTCTTAGCAAGGTAGGAGTAAAGTAGCAGTTAACTACATGACGGTTTGTGCTGACTAATATAGCAGGAGCTCGGATGACGTGATGTTCTCTCCAACCAGCTTCAACTCCAAACTGCTCATAACAGTCTCGTCGCAAACATCCAAGCTTTCCTGAGAATGGGAGGCTGCATATCTCGACACACTCATTCGTTTCTATGGACGTGAAGGCGCAGTGCTACTGGTTTCCAAGCTGACGACACTTGCTGGGACATGACCTAAATCTCACGATCCAAACCAAACCTTCCTTGAACAACTGCCGAGCTTCCACACTGGAATCTGCTGCAGTAGTCAGCACCGGAACGGTTCTATCTACATTCGTATTCCTCCTACCTCTAGCGATAGCAACTATAGTAAAAAGGCCATGTTATCAGCCTTCACGGCCCGCCCTCTCGTCCAGCTCAAACAGCGCGACAAGTCGAGGATCGAGTCGTTCCTAGCGTACGGTGACCGATTACTTGTTGGATTGAATACGGGCACGCTGCGAATATATCGTATCAATGAGCTAAATCATGAGCATAATGGGCATGGGGAATCTCAAACAGATGGACCAGGGGAGCAAGAGAACGGAAGAGAGGATGTGGATGCGAATGGCGCTGCTTTGCAAAACGCAGAGCTACCAAACGTAAAGCCCACAGACCTACTTCGCGAGCAGGAAAAGTTTTCACGGTATAAAATAGAGCAGCTAGCCATTATTAAAGAGGCGGGCATTCTATTATCTTTATCGAACGGATATGTTTCTATCCACGACCTCCAAACCTATGAGCTACAGCAACTGTTAGCGAGGACTAAAGGGGCGTCCGCATTTGCGGTTACATCAAATATCGTAAAGGACCCCTGTACCGGCGTGCCGTCCATCGTATCTCGGCTTGCTGTGGCAGTTAAGAGGAAACTGATGCTGTGGATGTGGCTGGATATGGAACTGGAAGACGACACGGCGGAGATCACATTGGCAAGCGGAATTAAGACTTTAACCTGGACGACTGGTACCAAACTCGTTGCGGGCCTAAACTCAACCTATGTGATGGTTGATGTGGAAACTTCTAAGGTAACGGATATCGTTGGGCCGGGAAGTATCGGCGGGCCTGGTGGACAAGAGACAAGTCGACTTGGAGGGGTAGGCGTCGCGAGTATGAGCTACATTGGCATGGGAGGTGCCGCGCCTAAACCTTTGGCAACAAGGCTGGGAGATGGGGAAACTCTGTTAGCTAAAGATGTCAATACACACTTCATCGATACTGACGGCAACTCCTTGGGACGGAGGCAGATTCCTTGGACCACAGGCCCAGAGGCTGTGGGTTATTCATATCCATACCTCTTAGCCTTGCAAGAGCCATCAAAAGGAACGTTGGAAGTCCGAAATCCAGAAACTTTGTCTTTACTTCAATCCATTTCCCTCCCGTCAGCAAGCATGCTGCATATACCACAACCAACAATAAGCCTAGCACATGCGGGGAAAGGCTTTCTGGTTGGTAGTGAGCGCACCATCTGGCGAATGGGTGCGCTGGACTACGACTCGCAAATCGACTCACTTATCGAAGAAGGTCATTTAGATGAAGCCATAAGCCTAATCAGCATGCTGGAAGACGCCTTGCTCAAAGACAAACCGGGTAGGCTTCGACAAGCGAAGCTGCAAAAGGCACAAGCTCTATTTGACAAGCAGAAGTATCGCGATTCGTTAGATTTATTTACGGAGGCATGCGCTTCTCCCGAGATGGTCATTCACAAATATCCCAAAATCATTGCTGGGCCACTCTCCACTTTCGACGAGGAGAAAAGCGAGGAGGATTCATCGGACGCGGACGACCAAACGTCTCAGAAAACAAATGGCACTGCAGCTAACAGTGTAGACGCTACAGCAGAAAGCATGCCAAAAGCCAAATCACCTGCAGGATATGCACCGTCTGTGAGGTCATTTTTGAGAGGGAAATCTGAAGACGCCAGCGAGACAGGTAGTATTCGTGGAAAGCCTCCTGATATGAAACCGGTGGACAAGCCGCTACGTATGATTTCCAACCACACTGCCTCGGCTTATTTAACTTTGATACTAATACCCACGTAGAAGGAAAAGATTTAAAAACCGCTGCCCATGCTCTCCAGGGGTTTCTGGCAGACATCCGGCGGAGGCTACAACGATTTCTTAACCCCGATGGGACCGTTACGACTTTAGCATTGCAGCTTACCAATGAGACGGACGACTTTACTCAGTCAATGAGGAATGTACTAGGCCTATCTCCAGACGATACCTCAGACGACATCGCGAAGAAACTCCGCGAGACAGCTACGTTGGTTGATACGACTCTCTTCCGTGCCCACATGTTTGCAACGCCATCTCTCGCCGGATCTCTCTTCCGCATCGCCAACTTCTGTGACCCGGACGTCGTGATGGAAAAACTCGAAGAAACCGGACGTTACAACGACCTTATCGACTTCCTCTTTGGCAAAAGGTTGCACCGGCCCGCCCTCGAGCTACTGCAGAAATTCGGCCAAGCCGAGGCGGACGAAGAGGACACTGTCGCCGCACAGCTCCGAGGCCCCGAACGCACTGTCACCTATCTGCAGAATCTCCCGCCAGAAATGATCGATTTAATCTTGGAATTTGCCGAATGGCCTGTGCGGACACGGCCGGAACTTGGCATGGAGATATTCCTCGCTGATACAGAGAATGCGGAAACACTGCAGCGTGATAGAGTCCTAGAATTCCTCCAAAATATCGATGCCAAGCTTGCTATTCGATATCTAGAGCATGTCATTGGCGAGTTGAATGAAATGTCACCAGACTTGCATCAGCGGTTGCTCTCATTATATTTGGATAGGCTCAAACGGTGGAAAGAGGAAGAAATTAGCGCACAACAAGAGTTTGAAAACGAAGAAGAGTGGAGGGATTGTAGGGAGAAGTTCTTGCATATGTTAAAGGACAGTGAGCAGTACTCTCCGGCTAGGATGCTAGATCGACTACCTAGAGAAGGTGAACTTCTATTTACTTCACATCTGTCTTGCCCTTTAAACACCACCAGCTAACTAAGCGCTGGAATGATATAGATCCTGAATTTTTCGAGCCTCGAGCGATTCTTTTTAGCAAGATGGGCCAACACAGACAAGCACTGGAGATTTATGTGTTCAAACTAGAGAGTCCAGATAAAGCTGAAGAGTAAGTGTGGTATACCATTGTTAATCCTTTCCCTTGGAAGACATCCTATACCCTATGGTTAACCCTATGAATAGATATTGTAACTATATTCACCGGCTTGAAGAACCTCGGACAATAGATACTACGACAAAGCGCGTCTCACCCACAGACAACGAAGATGGCCATCCATCCATTTATCACACTCTCCTGTCCCTTTACCTCTCCCCACCACATAATTACAAACCCCAATACGGTCCCGCTATTGAAATCCTTGCCAGACACGGTTCTCGTCTCCCCGCCGGGTCCACCCTTGATCTAATACCTGAAACATTCCCCGTGCACGAGCTAGAATTCTACTTTCGCGGACGCATGAGGGCGGCCAATTCAGTCGGGAATGAAGCCCGGATTGTCGCTGCGTTACGCAAGGTGCAGAATATAGCTGTCCAGGCCGACTTGCAGCTCGGTGAAGAAATCATGAAGGGGAACAATAAGGGCCGGAATCGGTTCGTGACTATTAGCGAGGAAAGGGTGTGTGGTGTATGCCACAAACGGTTGGGCGGAAGTGTTATTAGTGTTTTCCCAAAGTATGTTCATTCTTCAGTTTCTGGGCCCTCCCTACAGTCCGTTGGGCAGTGTTTTCTTTCGAAGGTATCCCTGGCTAACCCATATTATTCGAATAGCAATACCGTTGTCCATCTTGGGTGTGCTGGTAAATGGAACGCCGCTCCTACTCCCTACGTGGGCGCATAAAAATCGACTTTTTCTGTGACACCCCTTTTCCATTTTAGACACATAAATCTAAGCGGATACATTGTTCATACGTATTTTGCTCTTCTTGGTCTGCCCGGCTCTTCCCATTTGCTATCCTTTCCACTTCTCATTTAACAATTTATGCACGGGTATTTCTCTGGCCCACTCTCCCTTCCATGAGCATTCCAAGCACTTGTTTTAGATACCCATTCACCCATAATCCGCGGCTTTGTTCTTTCTTTTGTTGTTCATTTTAGGAAAGGTAGTGTAGTTGCCGGCATTTTGTCAATGGCAAATGCATCCATGAGCCATGAGCAATATATACTCTCAATATCCATAGGAATTAAACTCACGGCCGGGGGAACTGAAGGTAGATCGCTCAAAGCAAAGCAGATCCTCGACCGACCATAGAGCGAGGTTGCCAAGTAACGCGATGGAAAACGGGTAGGCTGTCTTTTCCTCAAGAAATCAATCCGCATCGTCCAAAACTTCCTCTCCGTAATTCTCCTCCTCTCTCCGCTCTCTTTCATTCTTCGCCTTGTCCGAACCACCACCAGATGCCTGTCGATTATTACTGTTGTCTTCGTCCATACGGGTGGTTAAGAACTCGTTGACCTCGGTCTGCAGTGAGCTCACGGCCCCGCGTAGCTCAGAGAGATAAGCTGTCTTTGCGGGTGTTTCAGAGCTGTCCGAACTCCGAGGTAAGGGTGTTGAAAGGGTATGAGCAAAGGTGTGCGTTTTGTTTGGGGAAGTGTATGTTGCGTGCAGAATGGAGGAGTTGCTTGAGGAGGGGTTCGGCGGAGCTGCCATCGTTGATACTTTTCCCATTTAACGGCTCGGCTCGGGTGTTACGGGCTGTTTGGTTTTATCGAAGAGGCTGTGATGAAATTGGATCTGTCTTTCGAAGGTTCGAATAGAGAACCAAAGATGTTTAAACTGAAAGACGATACCTATCTTTAGTCCATAATCGCTTCCATCTTATCGAAGCAACTCGAGCAGCCGAAGTCGTGAGCCTTGGCGTCTTGGTCACGTGAAGTTCATTTTGAGCCGCTTGGACGAAAGAGCCTCAACATGTCAACATCAACGTCGTCTTGAATCTGATCGAAACTTCTGCATCACTGTTGCAATTGTTTGCCATTGACTATCCAAAATGCGATATTGGCCGTTCGGCAACCCTCAGTATCTTCCATTGCATCACTCAAAGAATACATCAACAAATTTTTCCTTTAATTCAAAGGAGGAGGACATGGCAGAGCTGTGGCAGTCTCAGCCATCACGATGCATGCATGCATGGCGTGCTCCCAAGGCTGACGGACGGTTAGCCTGAATCCAGGCCCTGGAGACAAAGAGGAACGTTGGGATGGTCGACACAGCCACAGGTTCACCGAGAATATAAAAACCAGGCAACCAGTCCATTTTTCCACGGGCTGGTATCGCCGTCGCCATGAATGATTAGATGATTAGTTGCCCGTTTAAATCTTACAATCAGCCTGGTCTCAGGTTTTTGCACAAGTTATACTGTTTCTTGTCCCAACTCGCAAAGCGCTCCAATAGCCCCCTGCCTATTGTATTCGGGCGCAAATTGAATTATTTCTGTTGACCAATGAGCCTTACGCAATAAAGTAACCCAAAGCTGCATCGCCGCTATGGATCCTGTTTCCGCCATTGGTGTTGCTGGAGGTGCTATTCAGATCGCAACCCTTATTACAAAAACAATCCAAAGCTTATCCACGCTCCATGGTAAATTCAGTAACGCGGATCTCACCCTTAATTCCTTGATCGCGGAACTCTTGACAATCAAAGCTGCCATTACTCATCTTCATGAATTGTCCAAGTACAACTCGAACTGCACACCAAAGCATCCAGAATACATAGATGGGCTGGATGTCGCATTGGACGGGTGTATCGCCATTGTGGATGTACTGTCCGAGGAAGTTGCGCAGCTGACACCCATCTCGTCGAATGAAGCACCACATCGAGGCTGGGGCCTGCGAGCCAAGGCAAAAGTTGTTTGGAAGGAGGATTTGATGAGAGAGCATAGTCAGATGTTACATTCCCAGGTTCTGGCATTACAGCTACTTCTGCAAGCTTGTCATTGGTATGTGGCCCTCTCTGAAAACACGTCTAAATAAATTGTGACCATCGGCTAATATTCATATCCAGTCGCACATCTTCGGAACAACTTGAGCTTCTTCGGAGACAAGAAAACCGAGATATCATTAAAAGGGTGTTAAATGACACTGCAACGTTACGGTCGGCGACCAGCATAGTGGGAGCTCGAACAGACGAAGCTGCTAGCAGCATTAGGGGCTCGTGCACTGGTAACACGGTGTTTGAATTTGATCAAATTCTCCTCAACGAGGCCCCGTATCGACGTGCGATGCGAAACCATCAGCTGAGCCTTAGGCAGCCAGCCATAGTGCCGAATCGTCAGAATTCAACGTCAACTCCAATATCCCGAACAGATGAAGGCTATGCTAGCGGTACATCTGAATCTACGAACCCAAGCCTGCTCCAAAAGTTCTTAGATTCTACAAATGGCGATGAAGGCATCATCGCTCGCCCGTCAGAATTTCTGCAGTGCCATGAAGATGTGTTAAAGCGCCATACTCTCTCACCCCGCCCGTCACGTTCCCCCGAAACTGACAAGGGCATCGATCGCTCCAAGTCCGCAACTTCCTCGCTTGGGCGGAGGTCTTCAGGGTCGACAAAGGAGAAACTCCTATCAGCATTGCGGCGATTGAACACTTCAAGCCGCTCTAACTCAAGCCTGAGCATATCGCCAACTTCTGGCTCAACAAAGCGCCGGCGAAATCGCGCGAGCGAATCAAACATTAGCATTGACCTAACGTCGATGGACAACATAAGGACACCCGCGATCGTGAGAGCCTCTCAATCAGGTGCGATTTTCGAGGTGGAGAACTTTATCAATGCTGGGGCGGACATCGAGACGTGCGATGTTACGACCGGCCGAAATGCCCTAGCAGTCGCTGCACATTGCAATAAATCCGATATAGTTCGCCTGCTTATCTATCATCATGCGAAACTCGATACCCAGGATGCACAATTATCCACCCCCTTGCATTTAGCAGCGTCTAGAGGTCATACGCATATTCTACAACTCCTTCTGGAAGAGGATGCTGGGGTCGACCTGAAAGATGCCAATGGCAGAACTGCCTTTATGGTTGCTGCCAATGCCGGCCACACCGACGCAGCGAAGATGCTACTTGACTACAATTGCAAGATTAATACGCGGGCCACGGATCAAATGACAGCGTTACACATTGCTGCCAAAAATGGTGATTACGAGATTGCATCTCTCCTCCTCTATTACGGCGTTGATATCGAAGCGAAAGATGTGAATATGATGACTGCTACCCATCATGCTTGCGAAAAGGGCCATGTAGCCATTTTAGAGTTGCTCATAAAGCACAAAGCAAATATTAACGTTGTTGGTGTGGACGAGATGACTCCCTTGATCTGTTCCGCAGCTAATGGCCATTTCTCTACTACAAATCTCTTGCTCCGGACGAAGGCCATGGCTCATAGCAAAGACCAACACGGGATGAATTGCCTACACTGGGCAGCATTTAATGGTCATTCGGATATTGTGGGTCTCCTACTTCAGAAGAAAACCTCGTTGTTTTCGCAAAATCTACAAGGACGAACTGCTCTACATCTAGCTACTATGAATAAGCAGTTCGCTGTTGTTGAGCTCCTTCTTCGCAAAAATGCACCAGTAGAAGCGCGATGCCACCAGGGCTTCACAGCGCTTCATTATGCCTGCTGCGCGCAGTACGTTGACCTTGTTCGTCTCCTGTTGGCGGCTGGAGCCGATATTGAAGCGCAAGTCGATAAAATTAAACAGCGTCCAATACACCTTGCAGCTTCCCTGGGCTCTCTGGAAATCACAAGGTTGCTATGTGAAAAAGGTGCTTCAGTAGACGCACTCAGCTCCGATTCGGCAGGCAGGAGAGCGCTCTCTATTGCTTGCAGAAGAGGCAATCTGGAAATCGTGCAAGAGTTGCTTCGATTCGGTGCAGAATCCCGCCTACTCTATCCCGGCAGTATAGTTGAAGATTCGCCGATTTGCATTGCCTCGAGAATGGGCCATGTTTCTGTGGTCTCACACTTCCTTGCGAATGGCTCTTCTGCATTGGAAAGTGATGAAATGGGCTGGAGTCCCATTCTCTATGCGGCCCATTTTGGACATCCCCAAGTGCTCGAAACTCTACTTCAATATTATCGCCCAACTGCGGATACTCATCTATTCCACATGCTTATTGGAATAGGATTTACACCCGATGCTCCCATATCTCCCGACAATAGAAAGCAAGTACAAAACCTCATTCAACAAGTAAAAGATCGCCAGTTGCTAGGCGACCGTTCACAACCCGAGATTCCGCTGCGGATGCCTTCAACTTGCTCCGCGATACGATCTAACTCCCAACCAAGCCAACCTAGACACCCATGGGAGCGGCAGGAGATCTCTCCCACTCTAGTGTATGATGCGCCAGTGCCACAACTCTCCATGCGACGTCCTTTATCTCGAATAGAACTTCCCACCACCGTTAGTCAAGGCCTTCCTGATCCTCGCCGGAGGATGCAAGGAAGTGCCAGCCAGGAGACTACCCCACCTAAGTCTCCAGCCGCGCACATACAGTCTCCAGAACCGCCGATCAACGGCGGCAAGTCTAACCTCAGAGGCATGAGTGTGTGCCTCAGAATCGTACTAAGGCGCCTGGAAGGATTGGGCTTCGGTGGATGCAAAGCACGAAAACTGTCATCCAGCACGAACCATGCGGAACATGCAGGATGCACAGGAGGAAATAACTCCTCCTCTACCTTTAATAAGGTAACCTTATTCGGGGCGACTGTGCCTCTAACCGCAGAGACAAACACCCCACCAAACAACGGGAACCCCGATGAAATTGTACAACCACCCGATGATGCGGAGGATAGGGATCGTAGCGAGGACAGTATTGATAACGATGAAGACGACCATGATAATTGTCCATCAGATACGCAGTCCTTCTCTACGATTTTCACGGCGTTGGAGGTTTTGGATGACGATAACCGCCCTCGGATTTTTGAACTGGAGGCCTGAGATTTATCTACTTTGACTTTTTGTATGGGCTTGCAATATATATGTTTCGTTGGTCTGCACACTTTGTTATATAAGCTCTATAAAAGAGATAATATTCAGAGAGGTAATAATAATAATATCAAATGGCTCGGCAATTGAGTAAACTTTCCTCCTTTTCCCGTTGCCCATTCAGGGCTACATAACTATCCTTAGTCATTCTCACGTGCTGCTGGTGACGTCCATCATCTCGTCGCAACCTCACCTGTCCAAGATCCATCCACATTCCAGCCAGTTGGGCGGGAACTCGCCCTGACACCTCCAGCTAAGTGCCGATACTTATATGTGAATACGGTGCAGTAGTGTTATGAGAGCGCGGCCCAATGCTCCCTCTATTTCTCTGTCATCTATTATCACTCGTCTGGGTGCGAGTGTCCTGAGCGATCATAGCAACCAACCCAACTGACTTCGCATCGCCTGTCTGCCCACCATGAGCAACCGAAGCCCTGTTCTACGCAGTGCAGATGTGAGCTTTCCTGTACCACCAGAGTCTCCCGATCGCGTTGCAGCAACCGATCATTCTGCACGGCCAAGTTCCTCCAGCAGCGATGCTTCCTCGACTTCCTCCAATGTCACCTCCCTCAGCAGACCCAAGCGCGCCCTATACCGTGTGAAACCTCAGGTGTCTAGCCCTCGAATACCGTCAGCAAGCACCAATAACAGCAACGCTTCTCTCCCAAATTTTTCGCGTCCGTCAGCGCCTCAGATGCCACCAAACAATCCCTTAGCCCATAAAGCGCTACCTCTGCCTCCGCCTCAGGAACTCCAAAAACACAGACCTCGTCAGCACTCACAGGGGTTTTTTGAACCATCTCTTCCCACCGCCTCATTATCCGAACAAACTCCCGTTACTATGACGAACTTATCCGCCTCTCAAATAGCTGCCCAAGCTGCTATGCAACACCAGGCAAGTTCACATCACTTGCGGAACCGGTCGCAACCAAGCAAGGTACCTCAGGATAATGTAGCCAAAAAAGGTTCCAAAGATCATTCCCATCAGGTTTCCCCAGGACACCAGCAATACTCGAATGGGGTGGTTGGAGGCCGTGTCCTCGCAGCAAAAACTGCTGCGAACGTTGCATTTCCCCGAACTCCGGGCTTCGCGCCCTCGTCAACGAATGTCGACCATGAGAGTGGGCATAAGCAAAAGGGGGAGAAGTCTAAGATGAAGATTTTTTCAAAACCGAAACATATTGGCCTATCAAGAGACAAGGATGGGGACAAACACAAGTCTACACCATCCCCAAACAATCATCTTCCCCTTCCAGGCCCCAGTGGCTTGTCACGAATGGTGAATGCCTCTACGACAAGCCTTAACGAATCTTCCACTTCTGCCAGCTCCTCGATGTACAACCTAGCAAATTCCTCTGCAACTACGGTAGTGCTTGCAGACCGACCAGCCACAGGTGAAAGGGAGAAGGATAGGGAGAAAGACAAGACACATAAACATCACTTTTTATCACGGCAAAAGCTAAAATTAAAGGACAAAGATGACCATTTCAATCTACCACTTTCCTCTGCATCAAGTAATTCGAAACCTTTAGATCCTAGCGCTCCTCAGTCACTCTACTCCTTCACTCCTCAATCTCCGTCGACAGCGTCCTTCGCCAAATCGAAAAGTGGGCTCGACCTACGACACGGAGGTCGGGCTCTACGAGAGAAAAAGAAGGAAGAAAAAGCCTCTGCCGCCGCTGCTCACGATATTGGACATCGAGACATGGATGATCGGGTGACTAATGGAGCAGTTGGAGCTAGTTCTTCGTCTGTTCATAGCGGTCCCATTTCACTTGGAAACACAGCTCCGAGTGTATACGGCGGAGAGTCATCTTTAAAAGAAACTTTGCAAGGGTTCGGGCTTCACAACATGGCTCCGGAAGATGCATGGGACTTTTTAAAGGCGAAGCTTTTGGTCCTATTCGAAGGAGAAGATGTTCGCATTGCTCTAGAGGATCTAAACAAACTTGTTTCGATCCATATACAACGATGCGTGCGAAAACATATCCCCTCTGTTATCGTGGAAGATTTGCGTGACCTGCTACAAACGGGCTTTAGTTCCTTAAGCCACTCACTTCATTCCGTCCCTGACGAACGCGTTGTTCCGCATCTCGTCCAGATGTGGCTATTGGTGTTCGGCGGGGTACTTCCTTTCATCCAAGCTGTCTTTCTACCTCTAGACCTAGAGTTTAAAGGCCGCGGCTCAATCATGACTTCTCGTGAAGCGAAAGAGTTTTGGGGCGCACTACCCAACGGCGAAGCCTCGAATAGATCCATGGGTGATGAGCTCGATGTTCGCACCATCGTCCTCATCTCCTTCCGCGACAATGTCATCCTCCCCCGCTATGAAATTTTGAAAGCAACATTCTCGCGCCTCAGCCTTGAAAGTATCCATGTGAATGTCAGCGCGCTCAGCACGACCCCGAACAGCCGTCCAAGCACCGCATCAGCACTCGACTCCGGGTTTGGAAGTTACAACTCCCAATCTTCCACCCTCCTCAACACTACCGCTGGTAGTTTCTCCTCTGACTCCATCGCCGCCTCCATGTCCCGCAGTCGCGCTGCATCCAACACCTCTAACCCCGAATACGTCACCCCATCATCATTTACATCCATGTCCCCACCGCAAAACTCCATACTCAATCCAACCCTGCAAGCGTTCCCCTCGCGCACTACATCCAATTCCGCAGACACATCTCATCTCATCACCGAAACCGTTGGCCGCATGCTCCAATGCATCAGCGTGCTAGCCAGCGTGCAGACAGAGGACGACGCGCAGAAGAAGATAGAAACTCTCAGCAAGGCGCTCAAGCACAACTGGCTTGGCCGGGGACGGACGGGCCGGGACCGTCGAGGTTTTGTGGGTACTAAGATCCGCCCTGTAGTACCGCGGAAGGATAGTGACGATACCTCGACTAGCTTTACCCCTACTGATAACGAGAGTGACGATGGTGGCAAGCTATGAGATGGGGGGAACTGTGTGCAGTAGACGTTGGGGAATACCTTTTTTCTTTTTTATCTTTTTCTGTTTTTTTATTTCTTTTTCTTCTTTGGTCTCCTTATGTACGTTCTGCCGGGCAGCGTACGGATATCGGAAGCGGAAGGCGCCATGAATGATGGAAATGACAATGTGTATGGAAATAGCATCTACGCCTATTTTGTTTTTGATTTTTTGCCATCTGGATGCCGGGATGGGGGTTGTTCAATGAGTGCGGTGCATGATTTTTTTCTTCTGGTTGATTCGACATTTGCCATATATTATATACCCTTTGCCTTGGGCTGCGTGGGTGTTTTTCACATCTATTTGGAATTTTGCAGGTAGTCTTCGACCTCTTCGCCTTTTTTTTTTTTTTTTTTTCTCCCTAACCTTTCTTTTTTTACAATTTCTACATTTCTATTAATGTGTTTTATGACATGAATACACTATGTGCTTTTATTGACAGTTAATCCGCTGGTTATTATCTGACGTGAGCTTTCTTGAGTGTTTGATCGAGAGGTCTTTTTGCCATCATTTGGCCGCTGACCGGTATAAACACACAGATCCATACTTACTCTTAACAGTAGCAATCGCACATTCCATTTTCTTTTTGCCGTCTTTCCTTTCCTTTCCTTTCTTTTCCAATGACATAAAAGGCAGATAATCGCTTCATGAGGCATTTATAAGGATTAGTTAGGGCTTATATCCCTTCGCGGGGGAGCTAATCATGATATCGATATACTATACCACCATATCGTCTCTTCCTGCCATGTATGGATCCAGTGCCTCGTACCCGCAAAATTTCGCCTCAATGCCGTGAAATGACCATGGAATCAGCTTGGGTGAAAGAAAAGGGTGTGTATGCGTATCTACATAACAAGCCTTGTTCTGCTCAAGACACTCAAGAAGAACCAGTATCCCGTATCCTAAACGAATCGAATCACGAACAGCATTAGTCCACTTTATATACGCTCCATCTATCAAGCTTGTAAATCAGTAAATAACCTTCGTGGGTATCAAGGTGAGGTTTGCAGGTCATAGCGATAGGTAGGTAAACGGCTACAGAGAACTGGGCAACTGGTCCGGTCTTGTTAACTAACGGCTTTAAAGACTGGAAGGGATATTATATGGATACGACCGGAAGAAGGGACGGGAGGGACGGAGGAGTGATATATATGAAAAGGGCTGATGATCAACAAGGGGGAAACTGAATTGTTGAAAGTAGCGGCTTGGGAAGAGAAAAGGCGAGTGTTGAAAATAAAAGCTTGTGATGAGAGGTAGATGTAATGGAACTGATAATGAACCAGGAGCACTTGCAGAAAATCATTTCAGCTGGACACGAAGTCTTTTTTTCTTGCTTTCCTCACATATTCCACTTCTATAGAGAAATTCTGTAGTTTTGTTGCTTTTCAGTTTTGAGAGCTTCATTGTAAGTGAGAGACTGCTGTCTACATCAACACTGAAGCAGCTGGTGGTGGGAAGATGTTGTGTTACATCTCAGAAATATCAAGATCTCAGCTGCAATTGCTTGTGCACAGAGCATATTAACAGCTACCACACAATTAAAGTGCAGTGGAGAGTTTATTATCCAAAACACTTAGCAAGCAAGTGAGAGCTGAAGGCAGGTCATGCTCTGTTCTTAACAGGGTGAGACTGACATCCAACAGAATCCACTCATCTCTCCTTTCTTTCTAACTCTCTTCCTCTTTCTTCACCTCTCTCCATCTTCTTCATTGTCAACTCTTTTTGAATCTTGCTCTTCTCTTGCTTTCTTTTACCTCCCACACTCACTGCATTGTCCCAACCACAACAATACATCGCTGGACTGATTGTCAAAGCTCGAAGCCAAGCTGCTCCTTGATCCTCATAACTTCGTTATCGGTTAGATTCTCTTTTCTTTCTCCTTCATCAGGAACCCTCAACAACCACAACAACCCTTCAATCTCACTGACATCCACCACAATAACTCATAAAGCTTTCTTGAGATAGCTTCTACTGTTTCTGTAGTCGAAGCACTCATTTTGCCAGACGACGCACAATGTCTGATTTCACCCCCCTCAATAAGGTTGAGAAAATGAAGTTCGAAGATACTTCTGGTGCCGAAACCATCGGTGACACCGCGGAGGGAATCAAACAACAGGACCCCGAAAATGGTAACCCAGCAAACGGCAACGGTGAAAATGTAAGTTTTACATAACAAAATGCAACACCCCAATCACACCAGTAGCACAGAGTACCTGGGTTCCAAATCTCCATGTCTTCATGTTTCAGTTTCGCGAATAGCCTCGCTAACCCCCCTCCCCCCCATCTCTCCTCTAGGAAACCAAAGCAAATGGGAATACTGCAGCTACACCACGCAAACGTGCGCGAAAAGCAGGTGCTAAAAAGACCAACAGTGGTGACGGCGAGGAGGGTCAAGATGAATCTCCAACCAAGAAACAACGCACTCCAGGCAAGGGAGGCAGAGGGGCCGCATCTGGAGAGAAGCCGAAAGTTGGAGCGCGCGCTATGCCTACCTCATACGAGAATGCAAGTCCCGAAGACAAAATGCTGCTTCGCATGAAGGATGAGGAGAACAGATCCTGGGCTGAGATCCGCCAGGCCTGGGAAGATATTACCGGGGAGAAGGTTGGAGGGAGTACTCTCTGTACTCGCTATGCTCGTATCAAGGCCAACTTTATCGATTTCACGCCGGAGGATGTATGTGTTCCAACTCCTTCGACCCCTTCCTTAATTATATTTGTTTTGAGTGTTGCAAAATGGTTGCAACCGATAGCAAAATATAATATTTCTCATTACTTATTGGGGCATTATATAGGAGGAGCTCCTGCTCCGCTTTAAGCAGGAGATCGAGGAGAAATTCGAAAACGACAAATGGCGTAGTGTTTCTGAGGCCATTGGCGCTGCTGGTGGGAAAAAGTATCCGCCTGCCGCTGTGCAGAAGCGGTTCAAGATATTGAGCAAGAACTTGTCCAGAATGGAAATCGGGCAGAAGGTTAATGACGCGGAGGACTCCTCATAACTGTCACAAGACGGCATCTCTCCAACATTTCTTCAGTCCGTGGAATGGGTCTGGTGATGGAACCGAAGTTTGAACGTGCTTGGCTTTCCTGTCCTTTTTCTTTTTTTCTTTCCTTTTTTTATTCTCTCGTCCTGGATATCTTCCGGACTGCAACTTTGCAACTGGGTGTTAGCTTCTATGAGAGGAGGGAATGGGATACGGTATATGATGAGGGTTCAATGGTTATTTATTTGGTGCATCGGTAGCTTGCGCAATGGGCATCAGTGAAAATGGATCTCACCCTTCCATCCTTCTGTTTCTGTGACAGAAAATATGAGATTTGAAAATTTGCGTAACACCACCACTTCGGTTGAAAAATAATGATAATAAAAATAAAAATATGATTTGTACTCCCCTCATTCGCTGCTCAACTGGCAGCGCTTTTCGAACTCTCGTCAAATATCAAGAGAACCAATCTGCTCTTTGGTCAAAAAAACGGAGTTCAAAAGACAACTGACTTGAAAGGGCAATGTATGCCATGTAGTGCCAGGAGTCGATCTTCCGGCTGTCTTGGTGGTAGCATGGGCCGATACTTCACCGCCGCTCATTTGTTCGAGCCCGACAAGACAAGATCCATGCATGCATCGGCAGACAATCGACCTGCATCGGATGCCGATCAGATTGGTTCTGGCATGGCCGAGAGCGCAGGAGGTTAAATTAATCAGCCAGAGATGCGTTGCCAGCAAACCTAGTCTGTAGTTTAGTTAGAGCTACCCGAACACATCATATACCTAGGCCTAATAAAAAGTTTTAAAACAACCAAAAAGAGCAGAATATCTTGGTTTTCTTTTTCTTTTCTTTTCTTTTCTTTTCTTTTCTTTTCTTTTCTTTTCCCATTTCCTTGTCCTGATTTGTTGATCAGAAAGGAAACCGCCTTTCGCATGTGCTAAATATGGACATACGCGTCTCCGCACATTTGAAAAAACTGGAATGGTTAGATAGATCTTGTATATCCCCTTCCTGCCCGTGGAAGATTGAAACAGCACGGGGAGTACTGCAGCCATGGTATGGTACGGTGTAAGCGTGGTCCGGCCACAAGCGACCGCAAAATACGGATATATATGGAACAGGAATATTCTTGCAGGACAGCGGGATTGGATTGGGATTGAGATGAGAGAAGAGGAAGGGATGGGTTCATGGGAGATTCTCGAGTGGTGTTGGGAATCTTGCACAGCATTAGTGTTGTATAACGGTTGTGGGAGAAACAAGATGTGATTTCGCTGTCGCAGGCGGTCTCTGATGGTCAATTTGGGAGTAACCTGAGTGTGTGGTATGTTGCCCGTCACCGTCACAATTGCTGCTGGGGAATGTGACAAGCGCATAGCCTGAGGATATGGGGATATACCGATGTGATAGAGGCGGAATTGTCGAGGACTGACCCTTGGGTTGAGGTTGAGATGGGAGTTGCCAAATCGGGGTTTTTGCCCTAACCGAAGGAGCCTCAATCCATGGAAGACAAAATCGCCAGACAGATAACTACAGAGTAGAATGGTGATTGATTGACAGTGATTGACATTAATTGGCTCGAAGCAGGGCAGGAGGATGAGCTGCCGATATTTCAGGTTTATCGTTTTGCATCTCAATTATTTCCGTTGCACACAGCACAGATTATTGGCGTCATGGTAGGTAACTAGGTACTCCCATGTCACCTACTTGTACCAGCTTAGTGGACCAGCAGCCTCACGGTACCTCCTCGTGACACGCTAGTACATCCATCCATGGTCTATTGTCCATTGCTCCACTCGCCCTACGCAATAGCAACAGCAACTTTGCAACAAATCAACTCCATTTAGCATTCATCATTCATAGGATATGATATGGTGGCTAGCAAAGGATGGACAGGGCGAAGTATTTTCGAATTATTGGCGGGAATCTAGCGCAGCCTCGCCTCTATTATGTCTGTCTAACGGGGCCAAGTCGAGTTCTGGTCCGCAGCCACTCACTCAGCGCGCATTGGTTATTTATGCTTGAAGCTTCCCGGCATTCGTCCACCCAGCGCCACTCACTTGCAGCGATTCGGCCCTGTCCAGTGTCCACTACTAACTTACTACCGTCACTACTGTCCATGCGCTCGCTGGCTCTGGTCTTGGTCTGGTCCTTGCGCATCATCCCATCGTCGTCGTCCCTTTTTCCCCGAACCAGCTCTCCCCGACACCCAAATCTACCACAATTCTTCCAACTTCTCCCCAGGCAACCGCTGGCCCTAGGCTATCTTGGTCTCTCCGCTGCCGCTTGACAATTCACCTCCCGCTGCTGACGCAGCCTTTGGTTCTGTGCTTTTTCCCTGTGCCTCATTGAGTCATTCTTGTTGTTGGGCTGCCGTCGTCGCTGCTGCCTTGATGCTCGCGGACGCCAGACAGACATACATATAAAGAGAATAGGTGCGTTCGCGTGGAAATTTCTCAGGAAATTCAGTTTCCTATTTATTGGCTCACGGCATCCTGCCGCATTCCTCCACCTCATCTGCTACTTCTTGGGTGATTCCGGAAGTTGTTTGCTGTTGTCGTTCTATCTATCTATCCATCTCCTTAGCTACATTTGTCTCTTCTTCTTCACCGCTCTCTTCCGCAAGTATATATATATATATTAAGGTTAGATCCTCCGCCAACAAATGACTACATTAAACTGTCAGATTTCCATCTCTCTCTTCCGCCGTGACTTTGCTGTTCAGTTGCCCTCTCGATTTTTCTTACTCACTCATATAATACCTTGCGCGATCCGTCTGTTCTATCTCCTCATTCCTTGCTCTCTGACTGTCACTCCAGCTCTTGGCTCTTTAGATGCCGGGCCTTCCAATAAAAGAGCAATCTACAAAAATCCCCGACCTATTATCCCCCTCGACCTCCGGTATAACGCAGAAATCCAGCTCTGACACAGATTCCCGCGATCCCAGCATCACCCCCGTCTTCACTCCCGCCTCCCCTTCCCCTTCAGGCTCTCCCCGACAGGCAGATAACATCCAAGACGAGATATTATTGTCCACAATGGCCGATCAGGTAGCTACTTCGTCCGGTAAAGCCGATGCTACGGAGACGAAACAAGAAGTGGAAAGTTCCCCAGTGGCAACCTCCACAACGACAGAGCTAAAGTCGTCTCCGCCAGCTCCAGACTCTGCTCCGAAGAAAACGTCCTGCAAAAAGCATACCAACGTAAAGTCCAAGGCTCAGAAGAAGCAAAAGGACAAGAAGAAATCGAAGAAGGGGATGGATTCGTCGAGCAGTGAGAGTGACAGTTCATCTTCATCAAGCTCTAGTTCCTCGTCTTCGGACTCTTCAGACTCAGACTCGGAATCGCCTAACTTGGATTCTCACAAAAAGAAGAAGAAACGCGCCAAGGAGAAGGAGAGGAAGAAAGCTAAGGCCCGCAAGCAAGTGGCCTCTTCGAGTGAGGACGAGTCGGAAAGCGAAGAGGAGGAATCGGAAATAGAGGACAAGCCTACCAAGAAGCAGAAAAGGGCCAGAGCCAAAAAGAAGGCCAGGAAAGCCCGAAAATCTCAGGATGATGAAACCGATGATGAAAGTGATGTTGAGGCTTTGGAAGAGCAGCTCCGAGCTACGCAGCAAAAGCTAGCGGCCCTCCGTTTGAAGCAGAGTAAGAACTGCCCACAAATACTCCTTCGTGTAAGACAGGTTCCTGGTAGGGAGCCGCCAACACTAACTCTTGCCTAGCTTCACAACGTAATCAACTCCAGAATAAGTCCAAAAAGCGAAAGCGTGCGTCGAAGGTTGCTTTCAAGCGTGTGGACGAACGTAAGGTCCCCCATATCCTCTGCCACCACTCCCAACAATGCTTGTTGATTACATGCTAACACATTATCAATAACAAAAATACAGTTTGGGATGACACCATACATAATTACAAGCTAACGGAAACTGTGGACGATCCTGACGCAAACGAGTGGGACCAGTATATTTTTACTGTCCGTCGCAAATTTGACTGGGAGAATAAATACACGGAAACTGTAGTAGATATCAAGAGCAAACCTCTGCGTGAGGCCCTGGCCCACGTCATGGACGGTGTAAAGGGCGTTTCGTTAGTGCAGGAGACCCCTGTTGTTGACCCTAATATGCTGTTTTTGTACCTGGAAGAGTCTCGGGAGTACATCAAGGAGTTGAAGGCTCTCGCGAAATCGGAGAAGAAGAAGAGAGCCAAGCGGCTAGCTGCGACAAAATGCGCTCACTTGAAGGTCTTGGTGAAATATCTTGACAACGACTACGCCGAAACGAAAAAAACACTGTATCCCCTCCTCGAGTCGAACATGATTACCTTTGATCTTCTATGGGCCCTTTTCAAGCCGAACACCGTTGCCTACACTCCGACTTATTCCAATCCCGATGAGCCTCGTGCTTTCAAAATCGAATACGCTTCCAAGGAAAGCTCTTTCATGAAGGGACAGTGGTATGATATTGAAGGCCGCTATCTCGAGTACGATGGAAAGTCATTCGGCATGGGCACCATGTCTGTTGAGGTTGAGTCATTCAAGGGGTCCCGCAAGATTTCGACCCTTGCTTGCTATCCATTGAAATACCATCGAGACCCAGAAGGTTTGAAAGCGAAGCTCGTGGAACGTGGCAAAAAATTCGTGACACTCCAGGGTGTGAATTACCGTTTCCACAAGGGTATGGCTTTCTACAAGAAGAGGAGATCGATAATCAAGGTTAATATCAACGGGCGGGTCATGGTTGATCCAGCTATTCACCGTCGAATTAATCCAAACTATCCTATCAGCACCGTGAAACCAAAAGACCCGGACTTGATCGACGAATCTGACTGTGAAAGCGGATCGGATGATTGTTGCTGTTGTGCCGGGTCTAGATCGGAATCAGATCACGAATCTAAGGACGATAGGCCCAAATTGAGACTCAAATTGGTCGAAGATGCATGCGGGAACCCATGTATCGTCGAGGTTGAGTGTGATGAGGACGGCGATGAAATTGTCAAAGAAGACCTTGACAAGATTGCCGGTAAGGACCAGGCAGGTGGGAAATTTGAATTTTCCGACGAGGAGCTCTTGATCGCAAGCCCTGTCGTTCTCGGGTTTGCTTTCAGCGAGAAACTCTGGTTGGAATTCACTGTTTCTGGCATCAAAGACATCGAGTGGAATTCGGGCGCTTTCGACTCCCTGGTCCTCCCCGACAATCAGAAATCGATTGTCAAAGCGCTCGTGGAATCCCACACCTTCCACGCCGCTGAAAATATCGACGATGTGATTCAGGGTAAGGGCAAGGGCCTTGTAGCAGTTCTCCACGGCCCACCGGGTACAGGTAAAACTCTCACAGCAGAAGGCATCGCAGAACTCCTTATGCGCCCGCTCTACATGGTTAGCGCCGGCGAACTGGGCACGGATTCACGAACTCTGGAAGGGGAGCTGAACAAGATTCTGGACATCGCACATTCATGGGGTGCCGTACTACTCCTCGACGAGGCGGACGTATTCCTTGAAAAGCGCACCATCCACGACATCCACCGCAACGCGCTCGTCAGCATCTTCCTGCGCCTCCTCGAATACTTCCAGGGGATCTTATTCCTGACCACTAATCGTGTCGAGACCTTTGATGATGCGTTCCAGTCACGGATTCACGTTGCGCTCCGATATGGCGACCTGACGCTCAAGGCCAAGCGGACTGTATGGAAGATGTTCCTCGATAGAGTTAGGGTTAAGGATGGGGTGACAGTTGTCCCGTTCACGGAGGCGGATTATGACTCTCTCGCTAGACATAACTTGAATGGTAGACAGGTAAAGTTTTCAATATTATTTCTTTTCATCCAAACTTTCAAATGTGTACATGTTATAGCTAACATCAACGATTCCGTCCGGCAAACAGATCAAAAATTCCGTCCGCACAGCTCAGGCGCTCGCCCTGAACGAAAAGACCCCTCTCTCCATGGAACATATCTCCCGCGTCCTTGATGTAGCAGAAACGTTCGACCAGGACCTTAAAGGCGGAACGGGCTACATCGATGCCATGCGAAGCTATACATAAAATACCAATCAGCTTTCTTCTCGCGCATTCCTTGTCAATACCCGGCTTTTTCGCTCTAATCTCTCCGTTTGCTTCTCCGAATGAAATCATTGGTAATATTTTGTCTATTTCCGTATTTCCGTCTGCTACATCAGGTTTGTAACAACTAATTTTTGGCATATTTTCTTGCTTTCGTATCTTCTTTTTGCCTGAAGTTTAAATTTTTTTTATTTCGAAACATTTCATGACTTCTTAAAATTTTGTGGCGAATGTGAAGATGGATAAAGTGTCCCTTTTTTTTTTTTTTTTTTTTTTTTTTTTTTTTTTTTTTTTTTTTTTTTTTTTTTTTTTTTTTTTCACCACAGTTTTTAATTTATGGTTTCGATCTTGGAAACATCTTGCTTTTTAACACTTCGTTTTTAATCCGATCTTGGCCCCCTTTCTCCCTACTCACTCTCCGTCTGACCATACCATACCATACCCTATATCATGATTATGATATGATAATGACCCCTTAGTTGCCCTGTCTACGTTTCCCGCTCCCCCGATGTTGATTCATAGATCGCGTAGCTGCCCCGTCTTGCTTCTGTTCCCAAAACTTGTTGTTTATTCCCTCACCTCTTCCTCCAAGCCCTCTTCGGCTCCATCAAACACTCCGCTCCGCTCCGCTTCCCAGTAACAAAAGACAAAAACACCAAGGAAGATAAACGAGACAAAGAAAAGACAACAAGAGCGAAATAGAACCCATTTACTTTTTTTTCCTCCTAATATCGTCTGGGAAATGTCACCCGTAATAAAAACGTATATTTAAATATCTTTGCCATTATCTGTTTCTACAATATCTACTTTGATATCTCCCATGACGATTTGAATATAACACATATATGTCTTCGTTTTTCCCATCCCATCCATCCATCCCTTCCTCACCCCTATTTTTAGTTCTAATTTTCACGGCCACTGGGTCTCTCTTATCTAATTTTGAACAATGGCTCTTTTTTTCTGGATTTTTTTCTTTCTTTCCCATTTTTGCCCCCTTTCTTCCAACTACAACACCATCCAATTAATTACAACACATATCCATCTACCCATGATCTTCGATATTAAGCGAAGCACCTACAGCAGCAAGTAGAAAAGAAGACAGGACAAAGAGGGCCCGCATTATTTTCATAGGAATATGAATACATATATATACAGAGAAATATATTTTCAGACGAAGCGTAAACGTCACACACACGCACACACACACAAAACCTGCCACATCCACCCTAAGGAACGGAACATATTCTCACTCGCTGAAGAAGTTCTAATCGCTAAAACACACCAGATCTAAGGAAATAGAAAAGAACTGAGAAAGGAATGTTTTCCATTTAAATGGCCAGTAAAAAATAAAAAAGAAAGAAAGAAGAGAGAAATAATGTTTGAAATTCATCAACCAGTTTTTCCTTCATTTTTTCTCTTCCTAATTGATTTGAATTTTTAAAAAGCCTTTTTATTAAAATTGTTATTTTATTTTATCTTTTTAGAGGGTGGTGTACAGTTGGGGCAGAGGGGGCCGAGGTTTAGAAGCGTCTAATGTAGAAGGGGACGGCAGAGAGAGAGAGAGAGAGAGAGAGAGAGAGAGAGAGAGTAAAGTGAGAAACTAGGGTGACAGGTATTAAAAAATAAAAGTAAAATAAAAAACATTCACATTCCATCGTTTATGGGTTGTTCTTAACGAACTCAACACCCTTGGCAATGTTCTTCTTCAGATCAACCAGGCAGGCACCAACGAGCTTCTGCTCGTGCGCGGAGACCTTACCGATGGGTAGGATCTCCTCGACACCATTGGGTCCGAGGCGGACGCTGGAGGCGAAGAAGTTGACGCCCTGGTCCTTGTAGAGCGGGCTCTCGACGAAGGTGGGCTCGACGACGTCTTTGACGCCTTGGGAGGCCTTGAGCAGGCTCTCGGCGAACCGGGCACCGGCCATGGCCATGGAGAGGGTGGCGGAGCCAGCGCCGTCCTTAGCCTTGACGACTTCGTCGCCACCGAATTGGATGCGGTTGACGAGGGCGTCGAGCTTCTCGCCGGAGATGTCGGGGTGGTTGGATTGGGAGATTAGAGGGACGATGGTGACGCCGGAGTGGCCACCGACGACGGTGACGTTCTCGTTGGCGGGGTCGGTGCCCTTGACTTGGGAGATGAAGCGGGACGCACGGACGACGTCAAGGGTGGTGACGCCGAAAAGGCGCTTGGGGTTGTAGACGTTTCTGGCCTTGAAGACCTCCGCGACGATTGGGACGGTGGAGTTGACCTGGCGGGAAATTCGGGGTTAGAACTACCAAACCCTCGCGGAAGGGGAATATTACCGCATGGTGGGTAAGGGAGATTAGATACGTACGGGGTTAGAGATGACGAGGATGTTGGCATTGGGAGAAGCTTCAGCAGCAGCCTTGGCCAAGTCACGGACGATGGAGGCGTTGGTGTTGAATAGATCTAACAAGGCCGAGGAGCGGTCAATATCAACATTTGTATCAGAAGGAAGTAGTGGTTCCTGTTGTCGTTGTGCTGAGGAAATATCATACCGTCACGGGTCATGCCAGGCTTGCGAGGAACACCAGCGGGGATGAGGACGATTTCAGCATCCTTCAGGGCCTCCCGAAGACCAGAGGGAGTAGGGTCATAGCCGGTAACGGTGCTGTTTGTGTTGATGTGGCTAAGATCCGCGGCAACACCTAGACAGACGCAAACAAAAAAGTAAGACAAAAGCACATCAGCACGTGTTTCCATTCAATGTTTTGCCATGGATTGGGTTATGATCTTATGAAATCCCCAGCATTGAATTTTCTCCTTTATAGAGCCAATTGGGTGGTGTTTGGTGTTCAGTCATACCTGGTCCTCCCCGGATATCGTACAGAGCAAGCTGGGTAACGCGAGGATTAAGTTTCATCAACAGCGACAATGGCTGGCCAATGCCACCAGCAGCACCGAGGACAGTGACTTTAGAAGACTATTTTAACCAGAAAAACAGGTTGTTAGCATCGAGTTCTTTCCTGAGACTCCAGCGTGGATATAGACAGGCGATTTACCTGTTGCGCAGAGACGGAGAAAGCTCGGCGCTGGGCAAAGCCAAAAGCTCTTCGTGCGGCAAACATTGTGGCTGTAGGGTAGGAAATATAGGATATTAAGAACGAAGAAGGCGATTGAGGCGGGGGTGGGTGGAAGCAGGAAGCAAGAAGCAAGAAGCGGTGGAGTTGGAGACGTGTGAAGTAAAGATGAAGCTGAAGCTGGCGTTGAAGATAAAAGAAAAATGTTGCAGAAAAGTTGCCGGGACTGCGGCTGCATCGGCAGGTGGATTAGGTAAGCAGCAACGTTTCCTCGGTCACCGGATTGGGAAATAGTCAGGACACAGGAGCATTGCATCTATAGATATATATATATCTATACCTATATAGCTATCTATATCCAGCGTGTCAAAAGCTATATATTACCCTGTGAGTTCCCCACACTGTTCATGTGAGAGTCTCATAGTTATGTTTATGTCTCTTACAACCACTGCTTCCAATACACGCATTCCCCAATCACTGGCCTTGTCAACCAACGACATCCTACACTCGATTCTAAAGAAAACGTTACCCTCTGGCACAGGGCACAGGTTCATTCGAACATCCTCTCAGCGAGGGGATCAAGCTAAATATTGAGCTCTACCTTGAAACCATGCTCACTCTCCCCTGCGTTCGGGGTATTATCCTGCGAAAGCTCTACACCTGGCCACGATGTCTAGGGTGATCTGCTTCTGATCCCAGGCAGGGCTTTTGATGAAAACCCGGCAGAAGCTATTCACCCTTGTTCATTGTGCATGCATGATAAAGCCCCTGTTCTGGTGTGCTTGGTTCGGAGCAGTAGAAATCCCCTACTAGGCCCTCGAGCTCTATCTAATACATCGTGACGTCCTTTGTCTGTTCAAGAAGCTCGACGTGGTATATTTCTACAAAAAGGTATTTGCCAGGCAGAGATTCAAAACTATTAACTAGGCATATGAACGCCTGCAAGTTTAGATTCGCTATACCGTTTCCCCGAAGAATATTGGCAGCTATTCTCTCTTATTTGAGTTCGTAATGAATTTCCGCCGAGACAACATCACTCAGATATATCCCCGAATCCAACTAAACCCAGCACAGGACAACAACACAAGGCACGAAAAGAAAATAAAAAAATATGCCTCAACAGCCATACGAAGTACTGCACGGAAAACCCAAGCCTTCTTTCCCCCCTTTTCGCAACACTCCGTAAAACAATCGTTCATCGGATGCGTCGATCTCCAGCACTCCATGTCATTGGCGGTATGGTAGTACTTGTATCCATGTTGGGAACTGTCCCTTTCCATTGCTGGGAGAGCCCTTGTAGCAGAAGTAGCAGGACGAGTCGGATGAGTCGGCGATGACGCTGGCGCTGAGAGTCAGGAGAGCCAGGGTTGTGGGATTGCGACGAGCATTGTTGGAGGTTTGGTGGATATTTCTTATTTTTATTGATTTAATTGAACTGGGTGATGGAGGGAAGCTTTTGAAGTGGGTTTTCTTGTTGTTTTCTTCTTTTTTTCTAGCGGTGTTGGCTGGGAATGGAGGCCCTGTTGCCGTCGTCATTTCAGGGGGTTTACTGGGTAAAAGTACTGTATAGGGGACTGGGGAACGCATCCTCCAGAATGGACCGCAAGGTGTATTCTGAGTTGCGCTCGTCCAAATCTCCCGGGATCGCCAGTGAAAATTCGAAAAGATACATGGTTAGGATAGAGGAGATATGGGGATTCATCTGGGTCCGTCTCCTTTGGGCGTACTAGCCATTAGTATAGCAAGGGAAGTAGGCAAGGGCGGAAGCATCTGAGCAAAGACGCGAAATGCAAAAAGTGACTGATAACTACATGCGTTACATTACCCATGCCGAGTACCAAACTAAACCGCAAAAATAGGAAAAAATAGAAATAGAGAGCATCAGAAAATCACAACGTAGACAAAGCCTTCAAACCATCCACTGATACCCGATCCATGGACGTATACATACACATACATACATACATACATACATATATGAATCTTAGAAAAATAAAAAGCAACAAACCAGCAAAAATCCCCCTTCACGTCAAAAAATGCAGAACCGCCCAACAAAACAAGAAAAAAACAACAACCCCTCCCCAAAATATCCATTTATCCTGCTTCGCCCGCCGCTCAATCGTCCGTATCGTATCCCCGCTTACCCCGAGCGTATTCCCAACGCTATATAACCGCCGCTGCGTCCCCTTGAGTATCTCCCGCTGCTGCCCGAGGTCACCCAGCACCGCCCGGCCCCTGTCGAGAAACTCGTCTAGCTGTATGTTGGTGTTGGAAAAGAAGGATTGTTCGCGTAGGACTTGGTCTTCGCGTGCGTAGTTTGTTGGGCCGCCGCCGAAGCCGCTGGTACTCGGCGAGGAGCGGTGGTGCGGGTAGTTTGGGTTGGAGAAGGGGGAGGATTGGGGGAGGTTGGATTGGGCGTAGGGGTTTTCGGGGGTAGCTGCGTGGTGGGGGCGGCGGCCGAGGAGTTCGTTGCGGTTTGATATGGATTGCTGTTTGTTGGTTGAGTTGGTTAGTTGAGTTGATAGGATGTAAGTGCGCAGTACTGTTTAATATTATATTGATGGATAGATGGGTGGATATATATCCACAGTTTAGTACATACAGCATCCTCGCGCTCTTTCCTTAGCCGGTCGAACAATTGCCTGTAATCTGCCAGCTCGGTGCGGAAGTTCTTCAACCGTTCGAAGGCCAGTTCCTGCTTGGCCGGGATGAGTTCTTGTTTGGAGAGAGAGGAGTAGTCGTCGATTGTGCGGGAGAAAGACGTGAGGGAGGCGGATATTTGGCCTGATCCACAGGCAGTATATAGTCAGTACGTTGGATATTCATGGAGGGAGAGGTAAGGCTTTGTCCGAACCTTGCACGGCGGGGGATGTTGTTGTAGGAGCTTCGGCAAAGGCCTCCAGATCGCGGCGGAGCGCAGAGGACTGCTTTAGCGCCGCGTTGAATAACGAGTTCTGAAATATATTAAAAAAATATGAGTTTCTAAGAGTAAATAAATGAGGAAATTTGAGATACAACGGGATACTGACCATGGTGCTTGAAATCGTAGATAGGGGACGATACTAGATAACTAGAAGCTCTGTGCGGTATATTTATGAGGTGTTGGCGGCAAAATCGGGAGGTGAATCCAAGGACAAATGAAGGTATGGGGTTTGCTAGAGTAGTCTCAATTGAGCTGATGGGTGTTCATGACAGTGGCCAATATGGTATATGATAGAAGGGGCAATCTGCGTAAATGAGCCTGTCCATAGTCACAATGTGGTTTTTCTGATCTGCAAACTGTCCACTTGCATCATCGCCAAAACAATGGAATTAATATTCTGACCCTCTTCACCGCTTTCATATCTTTATGTCGAACGGGGCAACTCCTGGCCTTGACTTTGGACATCTCGAGGAAAGATAACTCCAATGAACCTCTCGGTCTACAATTTGGGTTGACTTCCTATGCCCCTATTATTTCCGTCTTCCTCTTTCTAAACTACCAGCGCTTCAGAAAATGCCTGGTCGATGAGATACAAGCTCTCAGAATTCCAATAAAAAAATACAGCTACAATCAGATTTCCCCCTTTCAATATGTGATGGGACATAACGATAAATATATTAAACAAGTAACGGCCATAAATATACAAGTGTATGTACATGTATACGCATGTGCATCCGAGGCCTTTTGTCTAAATATTCCCCCCCTTTTCTGGGACTGGGTAACCAATTGATACACATGCATTTTATCTGGAGCCAAAGTGAAAGCAATACATGCAGCAATGATAACAGGAAATCACCCAGATGGTACAACTTATTGTTTAGGAAAGGAAATGTTTGGAAGAAAGAATTAGAAGAAGGCAAACCACAATAACGAAGTCAGTGATCCAAATCCCCAAACCCTCCTTGCCTGTACTAACTCCAGTACATGAAAAGAAAGCAGAAAGAAGACGAAATAGAAGCGATCGGGCAAGATAGGAGATATTTGTGCATATGGGTAATACGTGCTTCAAGACGGCTGATATAGGCCAAAAAGCCGCGCATTTCACTTTGGTGGATACTTATTCTGCAAGAACCATCTACACAAACAACTCCAGTCAGCACGACTCAAAGACGGGGAAAAGAAAACTAAGAAATTGAAAGTCAAAAACATAAAAGACTCACTTGCTAACAAAATAATCCACAGCCCCAACCGCACCCACCGCACCAGACCAAACTCCCACAACGCGCCACGTCAACGAACCCTGAGCATGCTTCTGATATGCGCCAAACCCCAGCCCAGCACCCGCAACAGCGATCAACAACGCATTTCCCAAAACGACCGGATTCGACTTGTTACGGGCGAGACACGACTTGGCTGCGACTGCTTTGTTCTTCGTTGCTTTCGCTTTCCCCTTGGAGTGTCTTGCTGCGTGACGCTTGGCTTCTGTTTCGGCTTCTTCGCGCCGCTTTTTCTCCTCGTGCTCGCGCTCGATGCGCTCGGCTTGGGTGTTTGTCTTTACGCGCTGGGATTCGTAGGTGGGGGGAACGGAGGAGACATGCGGGGAGTCGACGTCGATTAGGGAGGTTGTTGCTGGCTCTGCTTCGGTGACTTCGACTTGACGGGGTTGGGGGGCGGCGCTGATTTTGCGGGTATTGGGTTAGTTGGATGTATATATTTTGTTTTTCTTTTTTGTGGTAGGTTGGTTCAGGTGGGTTCATATCGTGTGAGAAGTGTGTTTAAGTTAACTTACGCCTGTCTGGTTGTTAGCATATATATATCTGTATATGTGCATGCATGAAGGAGTAGACCACTGTCGTTAGCAGATGAATGACGTACCTCTTCGGGAGATTGTCGAGCACCGTGCGAGACTGCTTTCGCGTAAGACATCTTCGAGGTTGTAGTATCCAGTTTGTCGTTTAAAAGTGATGAGCGTGATGAGGGAGGTACTGGATGCCTTCGAGATCGGGGAATTTGTATAAATAGGCAGGGAGCTATTAGGTTTATTGTCAGCTGTCTGTGTGACTTGGAGGGAAAGATGAGCTATATAGCTGCTGATATAGGTATGTGGCTTAAGTCGGATGAGAGATGACAGCAGTCCTGTTTCGTACCTGGCAGATGGGATAGTAGGGATCAGGGGTAAATCTGGTGGGAGAGGAGAGGGTAGGACAGGATGTACTTATTCAAAATGACGATGAATCCGGAATATGTCTCTGCCCATGTGACTGTGACTGACTTCGAACTTTGAGTGTGACTATGCTATGAGAGGGGATGGGGGGTCTTTGATAGGCATGAGGATGCTGAGGGGAGAAATTGATGAGCAAAGTAGGACCTACGTACCCAAGGTATATATCCTGCAGTCTTTGTAGCAGATGTACTTCCTCAGAGCTGCTATTTTGCATTTTGATGAATTATCTCTCGTTACGGCTTCCATGGAAAGGAGAGGAGTGTCATGACGTCATGGTCACGGGCTGTTAAAAACTGCGAAAAAATCACCACCCGGAAAACCACAACTCAACATCAAAGCCTTGGAAACAAATTATTATGTCATTGCTTGTGGGTTTGGGTGGGTTCAGTGGATACACAATTGCGGATACTGCCAGTTTGTAGCTGTATGGGCGATGACGAACGGACGGTAAATATATTTCCACAAGCACATGCGTCACAATCATGTACTGTACACACCTCAAATGAGAATGATGGGCTGTTGATTCACGCTATTGCAAATATAACAGATATGCGAAATTAGTGGACGAGAGTAGGAGGGGTGGGAATTGAAGCTATTACTTTTATATTCGTAGAATGAAAAGTTTTGACAGGGTAGATACGCGACTTGGATTTTCTAAAGAACTGAGTAACTTAGGTATTTGGGGGTAGAAGAATTCTTTTCGCTGCATACTGTAAATAGTGGCACAAAGGTAGATCGGGAGATAACTAGGGAGGTATGGTGGGGGAAAAAAGGGGAAGGTAGAGGAAAGAACTGAAAATAATGAAAGAACGCAAGGGGAAAGGATAGGTAGGGGAAATATGGTCAAGAATACATTTTTGGTACATGCTGGAATTCCAGATAAGAGGTATGGAGCGTTGTTTCGGTTGTTGTAAGAGAAAGGGGGAAGAGAAACAAGTTTTCTGTGCTGTGTCCACTCGTGACAGATCAGCTACCCACTTCAATCATTGAACTTGAGTCGCTAGCCAAATTTCTAAAAAATTAAAATAAAAAGAGGGGTAAGTGGGATTTATTTGTTTAGAGAAGTAGCTCGAGCGGGTTCTCCACAATATTCTTCAGCTCCCTCATGAACTCAGCTCCCACCACCCCGTCAACAACCTTATGGTCGAAGCTGCCAGTCACCACAATCTGGTCATCCCATTTCACAGACGCGGCGCTGCCCTCGTCCTCACCCTCCACGGGCACTGCTACCTTGCGCGTCGTACCCACGGCTAGAATTGCGGCTTGCGGCGGGTTGATGACGGCGGTGAAACGCTCAACGGCGGGATTCATACCCATGTTGCTAATCGTGAAGGTGCCGCCGAGGTATTCCTCGGGCATCAACTTGTTCTCGCGCGCGCGCTTGCTTAGGTCTTTGATTTGGCTGGAGATGCTGGATAGGCCGAGGGTCTCGACGCTCTTGACGATGGGTGTGACGAGGCCGACGGGCGTTGCAACCGCGACGCTGATGTCTGCCGTCTTGTGCTGGCGGATGGTCACCTGGCCGTTTTCCTCGATCCAGCGCGAGTTTACGGCAGGCACTTTTAAGAGAGCGGCCGCACAGGCTTTGACGAGGAAGTCGTTGACGGATAGCTTGTATTTACCATCCGCGGAGGCATTGAGGGCCTTGCGCAGCTTGAGAAGTTTGCTAACGGAAAGGGTTGATGTTACGAAGTAGTGTGGGCTTTCTCTGACGGATTGAACAAGACGGTTTGCAATGGTTTTGCGCATGGACGTGGCAGGGATATCTTCATAAGCTGGACCGGCCGCAGCAGCGCCGCTGGGCTGATATTTCTCGATATCTTGTTTTGTAACTCGCCCACCAGGACCAGTACCCTTGACATCCTTGAGCGGCACGCCCCGCTCCAAAGCTAGAGCCTTCACTGCGGGAGCAATAAATGGCACTCTGTCAAGACTTGATTGTAATCTCTCACCAGTCGACTCTGGTTCCTGAGCTACAGGTTTCGATTCTTCGGTTGTGGGGGCGGGTTTGGATTCGGGTTCCTTTGGTTGTGCTGGTTCATTCTCCGCAGCTGGTGCTTTCTCACCACCAGCGTCTCCTAGCGAGAAGGACTCGAAAGATGAAATATCAGTCCCCTCTTCGACCATGACGGCAATCGGCTGTGGAGAATATTAGTTTCCGGATATAATGTCTACCCCGAGGTGAAAGAGAAACAAAGGAAAGATATTGCGCTCTTGCATAATATCACAAAAACACACTTACATTACCAACCGCAACATCTCTCTCACCGGCTTCCTTCAGAATTTTTGCCAAAACCCCTTCTTCTTGAAATTCGAAATCCATCTGGGCTTTGTCTGTTTCGATCTCCACTAGTACATCACCGGGAGCAAGGACGTCTCCAACCTTTTTCTGCCACGCCCCGATATTACCCGCAGTCATTGTTGGGGATAGCGCAGGCATGCTAATAATTGTATGTGGGGGGTAGGCTGATACAGAAAACACAAGAAATCCATATTAGTAACAATAATCCAATGGAAATTTGCGATCAATATATATATATATATATATGATTTCGTCACGCTGGCTTACATTTGGAGGCATAGTATCTGGCAAGGGCCGCATAGGCCGGTAATTGTGGTCTATAACGGGGAGAGAAGCGAACAATCAGAAACCAGTTCAAGGCACACAATCATAATTGATAGGCACTGGAACATACCGGACAGCATCGCGGAGGCGATACAGATGCCGTGATTCCCGTATACCGGTGGATGCGGTTCTGGACAATAAAGAGCGGCAAGAAGCAGACCGCGACATGACGGTGGCAGCCATCTTGAGCTATGGAAAAGGGAGGGCAGCGAAGAGGGCAATTGAGCGCCCCAGAGTCACAATGGAATGAGGAACGAGGTTAAGAATCTCGTGGCACAGAGATACAGAGAGAGCGAGTGAGCGTGGGTGTTGGGGTGGGTGTAGTCAGCAACGGCGGTGGTGCGTTTTGTTGAGCTTGAGCTTCCGCCAGGGTCCACAAGGGGTTTAGTGTGGCTCGGCGTTCCTTCGACCACCGCAGTTACAAGAACGGCTAGACTGGAACGACACATAAACAGAGGTAAGGGGCCCCTACTACTAAATTAGGATTAGCTTCTTCCTTTAACTACCTACACTCAGGAATAGCGCTTGTGGTGCCCCAGATTAGTCAGTATGGCTGCTGAGTAATAAACCACGTGATCGCAGAACCAGGGCTCTCGGCGCTGCTATCTGGCTCCATTTCGCTGGCTGTGCATAGTTCGCGTCGTGACTTTTCATGCTTTTTATGCTTCCCCATATACCCTGTGTTGTTTTGTCTCTCCTGACTTCCTGCTTTATTCTCCAGTTTTCGATGTGGACGGTTATCTTGGTGGCGTGCAACCCCCCTATGCTCGCTTGTCCTCTCAATGGCTGAGCTCGATTATGTTCCTCCTGCGGCTTCGGCGGAGTCTGTCCAGGTAGGCAGCGGCCTGCAAGACGACGAACACGAACTGCCCCCAAGGACAAGCTCCCCGCCATTGTCGTCCGCTAGCAATGGAGAGGGAAACTTCTCCGCTAATAATAAAAACGAAGTAAATATGGATGTTTCCCCGACCGCCACCTCTCCCGACCCTGAGTCCGTTCGGCAGCAGGATAAGGATCCCCACCTCTCGACAGCTGGCAGTCCCGAGCGGACGCAAGCGTTTAGCGATACTGAGAAAATAGATGCAGAAGAACCGAGTTCAGATAATGTGGACAACGCTTCCGAGGGCCAGGAAGGCGTTGAGGGTTCTGTACATAAGGTCGAGCTGGAGGAAGTCAAATCTCCATCAACTGAGGATGGTGGCCCAACAGGTCCGTTCCACGCGCGAGCAGGCACGCCTGATGTAAGAACACGTTCGGACTCGAGGTCCACCGTTGCGACTCAGAATACGCAACGATCCACGCCAATTAGCTCCGCCGTGTTCATTCTAACTGCTCTCGATACAATCGGGTCTTCAAAGGAGGCACGGCGGAGTACGGAGTTGGAAGATGCTGTGACCAAAGCCCGTGCGAACATCAAGCAATCCGACGAACGACCTATTGATCCGGAAGTCATCTTTGCCCCGTTACAGCTGGCTACGAAGACGTTTAGCATACCTTTACAGGTGACAGCCCTTGACTGCATCGGCAAACTCATCACCTATTCTTATTTCGCGTTCCCGCCGACCCCGGCCGCCGAAAACCCACAAACTGCCCCCAACCGGCTTCCGCTCATAGAACGGGCTATCGAAACAATTTGTTCGTGTTTTGAGAATGAATCTACCCCACCTGAAATACAACAGCAGATCATTAAGTCCCTCCTCGCCGCGGTACTGAATGACAAAATTGTCGTCCACGGAGCTGGTCTCCTAAAGGCCGTTAGACAGATATATAATATCTTCATATATTCCAAATCTAGTCAAAACCAGCAAGTTGCCCAAGGGTCACTCACCCAGATGGTAGGCACTGTGTATGATAGAGTCCGCATTCGTCTGGATCTTAAGGAGGCTCGGATCCGTGATAGGGAAGATCAAGATGATTCCTCCCCGGCGCCCGACGCAATCAGCCAGGCCAATGGTGGTTCGCCAAACGAGCAAGATGCGTCGTCTGAAGCTTCCCAGCCTGTTCCTGACCAACCCGTCGCCAAAGATTTGACAGAGAAGCTCACCCTGCAGAGCTTTGAGACAAATAAGGATGCTCTTCTGGTCAACGATAATGCTCCAACGATGGTTACGCGCGCAAAAGTCAGCAGGAAGCAAGCCAGGTCCGTATCTGGCGAGGAAGGGGACTCTTTCGCCGACGATGACGTAGACGAAATATATGTGAAAGACGCCTTCCTCGTTTTCCGCGCATTGTGCAAACTCAGTCATAAAATCCTTTCTCATGAACAGCAGCAGGATATTAAGTCTCAGAATATGAGATCTAAGTTGCTTTCCTTACACTTAATTCAACATCTTCTCAGCAACCATATCGCCGTTTTTACCTCCCCCCTCTCCACCTTGAAACACAGTAGCACTTCCGCCGACTCTATGACGCTTTTAGAAGCCATCAAACCGCATCTTTGTCTAAGTCTGAGCAGAAATGGAGCCAGTTCTGTCCCGCGCGTTTTTGAAGTTGGTTGCGAGATATTTTGGCTCATGCTCAAATATATGAGAGTTATGCTCAAGGTCAGTGCTTTAACACACTTCGCCTTGGGTATTTTCTAATTAAATTCCTAACAATATCCACAGAAAGAAATTGAGGTCTTCCTCAAAGAAATCTACCTCGCCATTTTGGAAAAGCGAAGTTCTCCAATGTTTCAAAAACTGTATTTTATGGATATTCTCGAAAGGCTCTCCGCTGATCCAAGAGCGCTGGTGGAAATTTATTTAAATTACGACTGCGATCGCACTGCTTTAGAAAATATATTTCAAGGGTATGTCAATATTGGACTCTGATAAAAGCAAGCTGTTGCTAAATTAACGGAAAATAGCATTATCGAGCATTTATCGAGACAGTCTAGCGCCCCTGTGACAGTCACGGCGATACAGGAGCAACAATATCAGGAACACAACAAAACTACACCTAATAATAATGATTGGCATCAAAAAGGGACACTTCCACCCTCTCTCTCTACTGCCAAAATGAGCACTGGAACACCCGCGGGTACACAAAATATCCCCCCAGAATACATCATGAAACAACGGGCGCTTGAATGTCTAGTGCAAATTTTACGGTCATTGGATATTTGGTCATCTCGGAAGCTCGAAGAACAAAACCCTATCGGTCGCGAGGTCCAATCTAGATCCTCCATAGGAGGCTCCAGGGAATCTCTAGACACAAGCTCTATCTTACCTGCGACTTCCCCTAATCCTGAGAACGGAGAATTTACACTAAGTCATTCTGCCCCTATATTAGATGACGATCCCAATCAGATAGAAAAAGTAAAGCAACGGAAAATTGCCCTTACAAATGCTATCAAGCAATTTAATTTCAAACCTAAAAGAGGAATCAAGGTCTTACTCTTGGAAGGATTCATCCCATCCAACTCCCCTGTCGATATCGCGAACTTCCTTATTCGAAATGACCGATTAGATAAAACAATGCTTGGAGAGTATCTCGGCGAGGGCGATCCGGAAAATATTGCCATTATGCACGCATTTGTTGATTGTATGGATTTCAAGAAACGACGGTTCGTGGATGCCCTCCGGCAATTCTTGCAGAGCTTCCGACTGCCTGGCGAGTCGCAGAAAATTGACCGGTTCATGCTTAAATTTGCTGAACGCTATTTAACCGGCAATCCCAATGCCTTTGCCACTGCTGATGCTGCCTACGTCCTTGCCTATTCAGTCATCTTGCTAAATACAGATCTTCATAGCGTCAAGATGAAGGGGCGACGAATGACCAAACAGGATTTCATCAACAACAATCGTGGGATCAATGACAATAGCGACCTTCCCGAGGAGTACCTCTCGGGTATTTATGACGAAATCGCTAATAATGAGATCGTGCTTAATACAGAGAGGGAGAATGCTGCTAATCTGGGTATTCCAACGCAACCACAACCGGGACTAGCTACTAGGGCAGGGCAGGTTTTGGCAACGGTTGGCCGAGATGTGCAGGGTGAGCGCTATGCGCAAGCATCGGAGGAGATTGCCAACAAAACGGAACAACTTTATCGGAGTTTGATCCGAGCGCAACGAAAGTCTGCAATCAAAGAGGCTCTCTCGCGCTTCATCCCCGCAACCTCGGCGCGGCATGTTGGGTCCATGTTCAATGTAACTTGGATGTCCTTCCTTTCTGGTCTTTCAGCGCATGTCCAGGACACTCAACAATTGGACACGATACGCCTCTGTATGGAGGGAATTCGTTTGTCTATCCGCATTGCTTGCCAATTCGACCTGGAAACTCCTCGCGTTGCCTTCGTTACCGTGCTGGCGAAATTTACAAATCTAGGCAACCTTAGAGAAATGATGGCTAAAAATGTGGAAGCGTTGAAGGTGTTGCTTGACGTCGCCATCACTGAGGGCAACCACTTGAAGGAATCTTGGCGAGAAATCTTGACTTGTATAAGTCAACTTGACAGATTCCAACTCCTAACCGACGGCGTGGATGAGGGGGCGTTGCCTGATGTGTCGATGGCTAGGCTTACTCCACCGTCTACCGCAGATGCATCGCGTGCCAGAAAGTATTCTCAAGCATCCCGGCGACCACGACCCCGCTCTATCCATCATGCAAATGCACCCTACCGTGCAGAGGTGGCTATGGAAAGTCGCTCGACAGAGATGATTCGCGGCGTTGACAGAATATTCACGAACACTGCCAACCTCTCCAACGATGCCATTGTAGACTTTGTTCGCGCGCTTAGCCACGTGAGCTGGCAAGAAATCCAATCTTCTGGCCAAAGTGACTCGCCTCGTACTTACAGCCTCCAGAAAGTTGTTGAGATCAGTTACTACAACATGACTCGAGTCAGGATCGAATGGAGCAGGATCTGGGATATTCTAGGCGATCACTTCAACCAGGTTGGCTGCCATACCAATACAGCCGTCGTATTCTTTGCCCTCGACTCCCTCCGCCAGCTTTCCATGCGGTTCATGGAATTGGGAGAACTACCCGGATTCCAATTCCAGAAAGATTTCTTGAAACCCTTTGAGCATGTCATGGCCCACAGTACGGCGGTTACTGTTAAGGATATGGTACTTCGCTGTCTTATTCAGATGATTCAAGCTCGTGGCGATAATATTCGGTCTGGGTGGAAAACTATGTTTGGTGTTTTCAGTGTTGCTGCGCGAGAGCCCTATGGTATGTTCCAAAATGCGTTAAAAGGGGCGACTTAGGCTTCTTAAAACAGCTTCTAACCATTGTGTACAGAAGGAATTGTTAGCATGGCGTTTGAGCATGTTCTGCAGGTTTACACAACTCGTTTTGGCGTTATCATCACCCAAGGCGCCTTTGCAGACCTCATTGTGTGTCTCACAGAGTTCTCGAAAAATCTGAAGTTCCAGAAAAAGTCACTTCAGGCAATTGAAACGTTGAAATCGACCGTTCCTAAAATGCTCAAGACTCCAGAATGCCCTTTGTATCAGCGTCGCCCTGGGCAAGGAGAAGATGGTCTACCAACTGCTCCACTGCAACCGAGTCGACAATCGGCAGAGGAGCAATTCTGGTACCCTGTCTTGATTGCTTTCCAAGACGTACTGATGACCGGCGATGATCTTGAAGTTCGATCAAGGTAAGAGAATATCAAAATATTCGGTTTATATTGTATTTTTGTTTGCTAATGTGTGACAATCATAGGGCATTAAATTATCTCTTCGAGACTCTAATTCGATATGGAGGAGATTTCCCTCCTGAATTCTGGGATATCCTTTGGAGACAACTGTTATATCCTATCTTCATTGTCCTCCAGTCGAAATCGGAAATGTCCAAAGTGCCGAATCATGAAGAGTTGTCCGTCTGGCTGTCAACCACAATGATCCAAGCGCTACGTAATATGATTACTCTGTTCACGCATTACTTCGACTCCCTCGAGTATATGTTAGATCGATTTTTGGAGCTACTCACGCTGTGTATATGCCAAGAGAACGACACGATCGCGCGAATTGGTAGCAATTGTTTGCAACAACTTATCTTGCAGAACGTCTCCAAATTCCAACAGAAGCATTGGACCAAAATTGTGGGCGCTTTCGTGGAATTATTTGAGAAGACCACTGCCTACGAGCTATTTACTGCTGCAGCCACCACAGCGCCTATCAAGGAACCAGAGACCCCAAAGCGCACTGCTGAAAGTGCTACTATCGTAGAATCTGCTGACGGAACTTCTCAGGGAGGGCTTTCGCCGACTTCTACACCTACGAAAGTTAATGGAAAAAGGTCTTTTGATGAGGAAAGTCATGACGCAGAGGATAGCCAATCGAGCGCTAGCCATCCACCCCCAGCTGCATCTTCTGAACTTGAAGATTACCGTCCTCAATCCCAAATGGGGCAACCTCCTGCAGTAGTAACGGTTGCACGGCGACGATTCTTCAACGGTATTATCACCAACTGCGTGCTGCAGTTACTAATGATTGAAACCGTCCACGAGCTCTTCTCGAATGATGCCGTCTACGCACAAATACCAAGTCAGGAGCTTCTGCGGCTCATGGGGCTCTTAAAGAAGAGTTACCAATTCGCGAAGAAGTTCAACGAAGCCAAGGATCTTAGAGTGCAGCTGTGGCGACAGGGATTCATGAAACAGCCTCCCAATCTCCTCAAGCAGGAGAGCGGAAGCGCAGCTACATATGTCAATATTCTCTTCCGCATGTACCATGATGAGGGCGATGAAAGGAAGAACAGCAGAGCCGAAACTGAGGCTGCACTTATCCCGTGAGTCTTTCTTTTCCCTTTCCTTTTCCGTTTTCGCACTCCAGCTCCAATATGGAAGTACAATATTTCCGAACGCTAACATGGTGTTTGTACTTTAGTCTATGCGCGGATATCATTCGCGGTTACGCTCATCTGGACGAAGAAACTCAACAGCGCAACATCGTGGCGTGGCGACCAGTCGTTGTGGACGTTATGGAAGGGTACACCGGTGTGCCCCGAGAGACGTTCGAAAAACACATTGAAACTTTCTACCCGATCTGCATTGATTTGCTCGGCCGCGACCTCAACAACGACATCCGCCTTGCCTTATATTCCTTCCTCCGCCGGGTAGGAGAGTGCCGCCTCGGGATGCCTGCGTACGTCCCTCAGGAAACGCCCTCCAGCCCACGGAGTTCTACTTCTCAACACCATTTCAATGGTAGCAGGCGACGCAGTAAAGGGCGTTGAATGAAAAGCTATCTGTCGACTTTTACAAGCACACTCTGTTTCTACTTACGTTTTTACTACCTACTTGTTTGTTTTTTTCGTTTTCTTTTTCATCTGATGGATTTTGTCTACCCGACGCCCTCTTTTGCCCTGTACACCTACCTAGACTTCCTTGGTTTGATCATGTTTTTGTTTATTATTTAGTTATTCTCCTCTGTGGTCAATGCGCTTGGCGTTTTTTCTAATCTAGATTTCGCGCGTTTTCATATATGTATACCTCTCTATTTATATAATCGATTGCCTGCTCTTGCCGTTGTCGGTTTTGGCTGAAATGATGATCGTTGGATCATGAACAAGGCCCATAAAAATTTCAATTCTCCAACACCATATAATATGAACATGCTAATTTAGTTTATACTCTTACATGCTTCAGTCCATAAGAGATCGCCATTACCATGCTTAGGCTTGCCGCACATTATTGCAAACAATTAGGAATTTGTATACGCACCGGTAAATGTGCATTAGCATACAATCACTTCCACTCGCACCTATCCAGCCAATACAATAACAATTTATACATTCGGAGGGAAAGCTCCCTATCAACAGCTAAAGCCCATACTCCCGTCAAAGGCAGTCAAGCTGGCTTTTTCTCCCAGGCGCACTTGTTCGAACGTCGGCACCTTGTCTGAGGGATAGTAGCCAAGCAGAGTCTCGATATCGTCCTCGTCCATCTCTACGAGTTCTTCTAGGCTCCACATTTCGCATATCCGTGATATCCTATGCAGCTATCAGATGGAAAGGGAACGATGGACATAAAATCACAAACATGGAGAAGAGAGGTTGGGGGGAAAGGGGGTGTCTGAACCATGAACGCAAAACAAGTTGGACGTGACTGACCATTTCATTCTCTTGGGCCCATCTTTGTGTGAAGAAGCGATCTCTCTAAGCCTCCTCCGCAACTTGCCAACGTTTTCAATCGCCGCCCCTGTGTTCCTTGGCAATGTCCGCGCAATTTCCTTCCGCACCATACTGGCCAACTTCGGTCCGTTCCCATTTGTACTCACCATGATCTGCAAGGGCCCATCGCGGTGCACGCTTCCAAAGTAAAAGTCACACTCTGATGGTACATCGGCTATATTCGCGGGAATCCTGCGCTCCTTGCACAGCTTCCAGATCTGCGTCGACGCCTCTGGGTCATCGACGGCAACGAGCACCATGTCTACCACCCCAACACCATTATCATCGTCGGGATCAAGGTCGCGAGGCTCGAATTTGCGGTCGATGTGCGAGACTTGTTTCGAGGCGATGCGGTAGGAGACCTCATCGTTGAGACCTGAGGATGGGCTGATAACGGTTACCTTTGCATCGGCATTAAGCGCATGCACTATGCGGCCGGCTGCTACCTGTAGGCACTCTCATTAAAACTGGGTTAGTTTGAAGGTAGGCCAATTAGAAATTTAGGATCTGATATAATTATGCAGCAGCGACGTACCTCACCACCACCAACCACTAGAATGTGCTTGTTCTTGACCTGCCATGCGACGATCAAGGAGCCGCCTGGTTGGATCTGCGGGAATTTAGAGGACGGCATAGCAGCAAGACATGTGGATGGGTATGCTTAGGAAGAGGAATCAAAGTAGATTATATTTATTTATACTTAGAATAAGAGCTAAAAAAGAGTTCAGTTGATGGTTATATGGAAGTTATTTAATTGTTGCTGAGAAATAAATAATAAATAATCTTGCCCGCGAATTCTCTTGGCTGGCGATAAGATTGATTGGCCTGGTCACATGCCACGCCTTAAATAAGTAACTACTAAATAAGCTAAATCTCGTCCGTATAAATTCCAAAATCCCCTTCGAAAATTCAACTCCGCCCCTCAGGCAACAGCAACACCCCCCTGGGCCACCATCACACCATCAGCAGGTCAAGATAAGAGTACCACAGTGGCTGCAAAGGATAACAGTCGATGTTGGATGCATTTGACTCCTTATTCTTCCATGACCGCTAACAGTTGACGCTTCTATTCCCCTCGCCCATAACACACCCTCACAGCCGCGATGCGCGGAGTCCAAATTTTCTCAGGCAGCTCGCACCCGGCCCTGACAGAGGCTATCTGTGAACGTCTGGGCACTCTCCCAGCCAAGTGCGAGCTCCGCAAATTCAGCAATGGAGAAACAAGCGTTAATATTGGCGTCTCTGTGCGGAACCAGGATGTTTTCATTGTTCAAAGCGGCAGCTCCAAGATCAACGACAGCGTTATGGAGCTGCTTATCATGATCTCCGCTTGTAAAGGTGGCTCTGCTAAATCTATTACTGGTATGTAGAAATACTTTTGACGCTTCTATTCGGGTACAGCAGCTTGAGTTTGAAATATGTGTCGTCTCTAACCTTTTTTTTTTTTTTGCCCTTACAGCGGTGATGCCGTAGGTTACACATCCTCTCCCAAGCTATAGCCAATTCTACTGACATGCCAGAGTTATTTCCCCTACTCCCGCCAATCAAAAAAGAAGAGCCATCGTGGCGCGATAACCGCTCGGATGCTTGCCAATTTGCTCACTGTCGCTGGTGTAGATCATATAATCACGGTGGATTTACATGTATGACGATCTACCCTTCAGGCAGATAAATATCCTCCTTTGTTTATTTATGGTTTGATAGCGCTAACGGGTCTGACCTTAGGCCTCTCAAATGCAAGGTTTCTTCGGAAACCCTGTCGATAACCTATTCGCTGAGCCCCTAATTGCGCGCTGGATCCGATTGAACGTGCCTCGCTGGAATGAAGCGGTTGTAGTTACCAAAAATGCGGGAGGAAGTAAAAGGGTAACGTCTCTGGCAGATGCGCTGAAGCTGAACTTTGGCATTGTAAACACGGACCGGAGACGGGGGAACATTACTGCAGGATTGTCAGGAAGCGCTATATTTTTCGCTTCTGTCGAACCCGGTCTTCCCACTTCGAAACATGAACAGGCCCCTGTTGAGTTGGCTGATAAGTCTGAACCGTCCGATCCCCTCCCCTCTTCAACCAGCGTTCCCATCCGACCTCCTCAACGTACTATATCTCCCAGCCCTTTAGCACAAACAACTTCGGCCGTCGAGTCTGCATCACCATCACCACCATCACCATCACCATCACACGCATCGCTCAATGTCCCTCAACAAATGGAATCATCATTTGCTGCCCGGCGTCCCTCCGAGCAAGAAGCCGCGTTTGAGTACACCGATGAGCGCGCGAGAGAGGTGATCACAGGCAGATTGGTGCAGGGTCATATTGTCGACGATGACTACTCTTCGCCAATCCTCTCGTCAACTTCTGTTAACACGCTCTCTGGGGATCGTACCGAATATGAACCACCTTCCCGTGATCCCATGACTTTGTCCTATATCTCCAACGCGTCGTCTTTCCAACCAGACCATGCTCTAGGAGGATCATTTGATGCTACTGTTTCCTCCGATGAGGAAGATAATAAACAAGAAATGTTCACCCGGGAGAGGACAGTCACCCTCGTTGGGGATGTCAGGGGCAAAACAGTCTTTATTGTAGATGACATGATTGATAAACCCGGTTCGTGGATCGCAGCTGCGGAGACGGTGGTGAAGAGAGGCGGAGCGAAAAAGGTCTACTGCATTGCAACACATGGATTGTTCAGTTATGATTCGTTGCAGGAGATGGAATCCTGCGACTGCATCGATTATATTGTGATCACCAACTCGTTCCCGATTCCCCCGAAAGCGAAGGAGTCGAGAAAGATGATCGTCCTTGATTTATCGGCACTCCTTGCAGAAAGCATAAGGCGTCACCACTACGGAGAGAGGTTTGTCTGATCCATTTATTTTTTGACATTTTGTAATATTATTATCGCTGACCAAGCATCAAACAGTATCTCCGCCTTGTTCCTAACTAATGACTAGCCATCGCGATTTTTCCGTATAATGTATGCATTCTTTATTCTACCTACCTTGCCCTAGTAGGTGTAGTATGTCGCTCTGGCGGCTTAAGCGAAAAAGGTCTCCGGGGCGTCAGCGTCAGAATTGCCCACAGAGTATAGACCTCCCTTGTCTTTCCTTTGAACTTCTAGCACTTCCGAAAACGCACCACCTTTTTTTTTCTTGGCGACATGATATGTGTCCGGAAGACGACTTTTCTCTGTTTTAAGCTACGGTAGAACCACACCTAAATGAAGTTATGTATGACTACTACTTACCTCCTCCAAGTTCACCTTGTTTTCACCGTCACGCCCGGCATGAACTCTACCCTATGCTATTATCAGGGAAACCATCCTACTTTGATACGCTACACCGTGTCCTGGCGATCTGATCAACGTTGCACTCGCCGCTCTATCCCTTTCTCATCCAAGCGTTCTTGTTGCATTTGATTGGCCATCTCAACTGCTACGCCATTATACCAACTTCAGTTCCCATCGCACACACTTCCACTCCTATCCCGCTCCTGTTGCCGTCCTCTCTCGATCCTACATGCATACTGATTATTCTCTTTCCTGCGTAACATACCCTGGGCCCTATACACAGCCACCTTGCTTATGTTTTCGAAGCAGAAGCTTAAAATGGAACCTTTTTTCCCCCCTTCAAGAGAACAACCATTTAACCAACGATGCAGAACCGTACTAGGGTACTGCAGGGACATCTGGAAAGAGGATTAACAGAGGGGAGGTTATTTATTTTTAAATAACCTTTCCTTTTTCCTTCTTTACCTTCACCACTAGGATTGTCCTTAACGGAGCGTTGGCAGATCAAAAATTCAAATCCTGAACCCATAGAAATATGGATTATGGGAAACGGGAGTTTACAGACACGGTCTCGGGCTTTTTCAGTTAGATTTGGTTTTTGTTTCTAGCTCCTGTTTTCTTTTTCCTTTTCTTTCCGTTTACTCTCTTCCGCTTCCCTACTCTATTCCATGTCTTTCGCGTTTCTTCCCCTTCCCTATCTCTTGGAATGTTTTATTTCCGTTCGTTTCTCTTCTTGGATTAACCCGGCTCATGTTCTGTGGGCCGGGGGTTGTTCTTGAGAGTGAGCTGTGATTGAATATGAAAGGAGAGGGGAAATAACAAAGGGGCGGGGGCGTGGTTGGTTTGGGGATGAGAGGCGAGCTGGGGAGGAGATGGAAGGAGAGAAAGAAGAGGAGTGGGAATGAATCCATATTCGTCTTTCTCCAGATGAGGAGGTCTGAATCGTGTCCTCCAGGCCTCTTGATGTCTTGTTTTTAGCTCCGACATTTGTCAGTAGTACTACTAGGTCTTTTTTTATTTTTACTAATTGATCGTATGTTTAACTGCCCCTGGTGTTAAGTTTTTCCGAGTGCACATAATGGGGAAATAGTTGATAGAAACATATCATTACCTCCTCGAACCATTGCGAAATCGGTGTTCCCACCATCCTGTTTAATGCTATCCATTAGTTTCTAGTCTACATTGTAGGGTTCTATAAACCAAGCATGACATCGAAGTTTTTGGATTAGGGATATCCCGTCACGAGGAATCAGCCTCAAGTGTCCGTACAATCGTCAATGGAACTATGTAATGTAGTTAGCTTCCAATCGATCGCACCTGTAGTAGCTATCACTTTCTGAATATGACTATTTTATTTTATGTTATTTTTGTTGTTTCTAAAGAGTGAGTGTCACTCCCTGTATATGGGATCGCGACCAACAAGCCAAACAGCAAACAACATTAGCTGCGAACCCTCGACGCTGGCCCTGGCGCTGCCTTCATCAGATGTATGAATACCAGATACAAGCTGCGCAACACAGTTGCAATATCCACTCATTCCATTTTTCAAGTAAACTAAACTCCAATCAGGCAAATAATGGTAGATGCACCGGGAGTTTCAATTTCTTCTGCTAATAAATAGTATTTGAGGGTAAACAGGCGTGGGGAAGCATGGAATGAATGACCTTTCAGAGGAACAGAGCTAATAACCATGTTCTTCATTTCCGAAAAATTTTCTCTATCATCATGCTTCATACGTTTTTAGCTATCTAGTTAGATTATTCTTCCTATGTATTGTTAAAAGGAGAGAGGGGAGCTAGAAAATCAGCTTTCAATTAACTTGCTATAGGGGGTAACCCAACACTAAAAATGATGCAGAAAATATCTCCCTAAGTTTCCTATCCCAACCCATCCCAAAAAAATAAATAATAAATAGACAGATAGATAAATAAATAAAATAAAAATATATTAATAGGTTAGATAAAACTGAAAAGCGAACCAAAAACAGAGGGAATACAATTGAAAAATAAGAATACGCAGTAAACAGACAGCACGACCGAAAAGTAGCAACACGCCAAAAACTGGATGAACAACCAATCTAGAACTTGGAACTATCCCTTTCTATAGCAAGGATCACACTTATTCTGGTGACAGAGTTTACACTGCCAGATTGCAAAAAAAGGACCGGACGTACAGTAGGAACAGTTCCAACTGAGGAGGCTCAGGTCACTCTGGATAATCGCCCATTGATGGGGACAGGTCGAATTAGCCATGATGAGTATTATTACTTTGTTGTGATTGTCGGCCCGGAGTACAGGATGACGGAATGCACGACCCGAGGAGTCGGTTGTATTAAAAAGCAGTTCTGCGTCCACTGGCCAATTGGGCTTCTGAGTCGCTCAACGAACCGAATCGTTCCTTTGAGTTTTGCTAGATTACCGGTGGTGCGGTTTTCGGGACCAGCTTCGGCGGTCCAATAGGCCAGACTAGCCTTAGTTCGGTGGGTCGGCTTCAGGGCTCGGCACACGCTAACTCTTCAATCACCTCTGGGGATTTTCTCGCTGGGGACTTCGGGAGGAGCGCTGAAGGGGGATGGGATGGATGGTTGCTGTCAGTAGTGCAGTGCGCCACGAAACCCAAGGTTTAAGGTTGGTTGGGACTGACAAGGGGCGGGAGTTGGCAATGCGCAAGGGGAGCTTTTTTTCTTCGTTGAAGTTCTTGAAGGTGACCAGGCCTGTAAAGCGAAAGTAGGTAGTAAATGTTGTCGAAAGAGAGTCGATGATTTTTGATGGGATTTTTTTTTGGGCCAAGAACGATCGTTCGGGGTTATTTATAGTCGTGGCCAGAGAGATTCACAATGCACTCTGGCTCGTGGCAGTTGAATTAGTCTTCGATTGAGAGCCGTGAATGTCAATTGCAGCGTAGATGGGAGAATGCGGTCGTTTCGGAGAGTATAGTAGTGTAGAATTATTATAGTGGAAGTGATATCAGTTGGTTGTACATGTACAAACGGCGACTGTTTTCGATCGCGTTTCCCGAAACCAAGGCGATGGAACCTGCATGCAGACGCAGCAAAGGGATTCCTCTTTTCCCAGCAAGGGGTTCGAGCCGATGTCACCGGCCTCTGAGAAACGTTCTAGAAAAGGATAGGGAGGTCAACGATTGGTGAGGACAAGCGGCAGACCAAAACACAAGAAGGGATATCTATCTCTGGTGGTACACAGTAGAAATTGGTGCACAATCAACGAGTGCTCGGAAGGAGGCGGCGACAGAGTGAAGACAGACAGACAGACAGACAGAGAGGAATATGAAAGGCGGAAAGAAAGGCGTCCGTAGATAGATATAGCGTCTGCTCAATTTTTTTGGCAGCTTGCCCGGCGCATATAATTTCTGCCTTAATGGGACAAGAGCCTGGCAGCAGCGCCATCCATGGTTGATCTCGCCCACAGGCTTTCTTAGCAGAATTGGCAGAGCCATCGGCCTCGGACGACGCATGCCAAAAGCAAGAGCTCTAAAATAATAGTCAATAAAAAAACCATGTCTTTCTTCAGAGGGAGCTGGTTGCAAGCTCACAATCAATAGTCTCGTGTTTCGAGCTTGGAGGTTCCTTAGTGTGTGCGCCGCGGATGGAGCCAGAGGGTTCCTGATACGACATTTTGACCAGTCGCCTACGCTTCCTTGTTTTGCTTAGATTAGCATTATTCCTCACGACTATCGCAAACCGAGAGTCGCAGAATGAGAACCAGGGGGAAATGCCACAGTAGTCGCTTAGTGGTGGTTGCAATGGGAGGCAGAGGTTCGGAGAGCAGAAGACGGGATGGTGTTGAGAGCCGCCCATTTCTTCACATCGAGGTTGCCAATTCTCGCCGCGTTGAAACCGAGATACATACATACATAAGTGGGATTCCGATCAGGCGCGTTGCTGTCATCATGCAGATCTCATTCTAGTTCACTGTTTGCTTTTTCGAAGCTGCTCTTTGCTGCACCCAGTCCCCGACAGTCTGGCACGCATCGATGCTCACTGGGTGTTCTCCTCTACACGCGTCCTGGACATAATATGTCCACTACAAAACCCCTACCCGGTTTACCAATATATATAATATGCCTGATGGAGATAGGCCGCCGCTCGATTCTTGTATCATGCGGATACTCATCGGGGCTGCTCGGCTCTCAAGATCGACATAACAGAAAATTCCCAAGACGCATGCAACAGCTGAAAGGGGAAATAATATATGTCACATAAAAGGGAGGCTTCTCCCCAAGCCAAACGAAGACACGCTTTGGAGGAGCTGGAAATCCTCAACCTCCCAAGCCTTCTCAACTCCGTTCCTAGACTCGTGCAGCTCTGGGCACGCCGCCACAGGACCTCTACAAGTCATTATCTATCCCCAAGCACGGAGCGGAGCAGCCTATCAATAATCGATCATGGCAACATCTGCCCCCGCTATCGCCGTGGTTTTTTGCAAAGGTCACCGCTACTTTTCTCATTGTTCTATTCTGAATCACAACAGAGTAAAGAGGAGTGAGGCAACTATGGACGTCGCCAACCATTTTCCAGATGCAGCATCATTCCTATGCCTGGCTAACTAGTCCCTAACCTGAGCAGGAACGATAATTGTGCTCCTGCCATATACATTTACATACATCAAAGCAGCGATATCTCCAGATTGTGCAGAGTTACAGGTACCCAGAGGCGATTTGGCTTCACTTGCCATTTTCGATCATGCTAAGGGTTCAAAATCGAAGTTGACCCTCATCGCAACGGGTCCACTACCTGCCAAGTCTTACGCTGGGCCTCTTAATGACGTCTGACTCGAAAAACACAGGCCTGACCACTAGGCCTCTAAGGAATGATGTTTTGAGATTATTTCACATAATTCGTAAATCCCTATTGGCAGCCTTGTCTCCTAGGAGGCCTATGCTCATCCCGACATTGCTTATCACAGGATGCTTTACACAATCATGACTGATTGCCAAGTTCTGGCTTGCCGGCTGGTAGGGGGTAGTGTGTTCTGAAGTTGTGAAAAAAAGCTCGAAGGCAGATGACCATAATAAGGGTTTCCAATGCCGATATGAGTTTTGAGGCCTTAACAGCCGATAGCGGTAGTGCTCATAACTTGGAGACGAAATTCGAAAGCCTAAAACGGAAATCCGAATCCTTTACGTTCCGTTTCTTCATTGAACTACTACCGAGCCATCATAAGCCTGGAATATGGCCAAAACTGATAGGTTCGAGCACTTCGGGAGCACCAACCGGATTGCGTCTTTTACCCTTTAAATTCCTTTCTCCTCATGCGCCGGTTGTGGCAGAGATAGAGCCAGGATGGTAGTTCCGCCGAATCAAATGAAACAAAGGGAATAAAAAAGAAAGCCTCCTTTACCGATTGGTCTGCCACCCACGAACACAAACGAGGGTTCAAGGATGAGCTCATGAGCTACGCTGAACTTGGAATTTCGACATGGCCTGGGGCACTTCTTGCGCGGTTGGGACATGCCTACGATGGCCACGCGCCTGCGAGCAACCTCTGTCGATCCGGAAAGTACGAATTGGTTGGCCCTCATCGGGGCCCGTGCGGGTTGCACTCTCCGGCACTTCTGCCCTTCTCCAGTGGCGTGGGAAAAAAGAACTTTCCTTTTCCCGCCACAGATCCAATCCACATCCAGAGAGATTGCCGTCAAATCTCCCCCGTCCTGCATCCATCCGCTTGCAAAGTATCCGGGCAGCCGCTGGATGGAACCAACCGGTTTATGATATCTGCTTAACGGAAGCCTGTTCTCCACTCTAGGAAGCCTGATGTGCACTTCAAGTTGTGGCCGGAATTGTTTTGGAAATGCATGCTTTTAATTGTCGTACGATGCAGGGTTCCCCATCTTGACGCCCACCCGCATCCGAACATCGTTTTAAACCCAGTCTTGTTGGCGGGCCGGGTTTCATATTCGCCTTGTTTTTCTGGATAGCATCTATGCGGACCGCCTCAATTTATTAGGTTGCCGAAGAGGAATGTTTATTGCTACTACATATGTATCACCCACAACTCATGAATAGCTTACCCACTTCTTGCTTGTTGTTATTTCTTCCCCTTTTAATGTCTTTCCCCTTTCAGTTAGTTGCAGGGACATGGTGCAAATTCAATTCGTGGCGAACAACACCCATTTTTTGTCCGTCTTTTCAATTGATACCTCCTGGTTGAAATGATGTCACATACAGACTAATGATGCAGCAACTACAAAACTAATTATTGATATATGTTATTGCCTATTGACAATGTCTAGATAAGCTTGCCGGAAAGGGGTGGCCATGAGAGGGGTGTCCAAATGCGCCCAGTCATAAAGCAGTTAAGATGGGCTGGAATAAGATTCAGCATGTTGCTTCTTTGCTTCTCATAACACGTCATAATGATGGGTGGTTAGCTGAGCTATTATCATTGAAGAATTGACGCTGCAGCACATGATAGAGTTGTGATTTCCAACGAATAATCGGAGGGGTTGAGCTAATCTTGATACAATTCCCAACGAAAGGCTCATTGATATGGAGTTTTCTTGCTTTTTGATCCTTCCTTCTTGACCATTTCAGCTACTCTTGTGGCTGGGTTCATATATTTTGACCAAGAATGGAAAGGAACATTTTCAATGGGACGTTGGGAAGGTTGCCTTTCTTGAGTTCCTAAAGATAAGAAGGTCAGTCTGACATGAACTTGACTATTTTGAGAGAGAGGCAGAACATTCTAATCTGTGATGCTAGGAGAATCATGAAACCTTGACAACCGCACAGCCATCATGGAACAGAAGTGGTGGGCTTTAAATCCTATGCAGCCGAAGGGGAACCAACTGCCTTGTTGAAGATGCGCCCGTGCATCAAAGACTAGATGCAAATTTGTACCACACGCTCTTCTCTGTAGTCCTCCACTGACTATATACATGCTATGGACAGGAGTTCCAATGAAATAGTAACAGTCCGAAAGTAGTTCGAGATGAAAGTTCAAAGGGGCTCTATTCGATTCCACATTCAAACAATCTAGGGTTGGTTGGGTAATGCACATTGTGGGGAGTAAGGGTAGATAAATTTCTCCCGACCCCGCTTCTATTTTATGGTCTATGCAGTCCCCCGTTTGAGTTTCCTTCAGAGAGTTCAATTGTTGTCACATTTCACTGATAGCTCTCTCCCCACATCTATCAGCCAGGGGCGCCCCGGGAGGGAAGGGGGTGGAGGAGGGATATAAAATTCCAATATCACACTGCACACAAAAGCAAGAGTCTTCTCTCGCAGAATGAAAAGCAGAAACGAAAATATGAAGGTCTTGACGCTTTCAGCTGTCCTTGCCCTTGCGGCCCTTGGGTTCTCCGCTCCGAGGAATCTACCGAACACAGCAAGGTACGTAAACACCTCTTAAAACAAACAGATGCGGTGGTCCAAGGCAACTAAGACTTGCGAGTGACCATGTTCCCCTAAGCGTACCTAAGATTATCACTTTGCTCTACCCCTGCTAGTAGACTACAGCAAAGACACCGGAAGAGGCTGACGCTATTAATTAGCACAACACAGGGTATATCAAGTAAAGCTTGAACTGATACAGACCGTGAAATCTTCGGTCAATCTAACCGTCTCGATGTTGTCCGTCGGAAGGAGAGCCTGCTGCTTTGGCTTCCTTAGACAATCAGGAGTTCCGTCAGTGGTCTTGATACACCCGCCACATGCAGAAACACGAACAGTCATGTTTATCCAATGATGGTTGAGGCATTGGATCAGTATGGTTGAGCGGAACAAGGGTTCTATGAGTTGCGGCTGGAAATGCGGACCTAATATGACTAGGAAAATAGGAGAACTTGGGGTCGAAAACTAATCGTCTGGAGACACCATCTCAGCAGAGAGTGTGTATTATTTTATATTCACGCTACCCCCCTACCACCGACAAGAGAATATCTCCTACCTAGGCGGGCAATGCTTGAATCCTTGCACAGAGGTTACCTTCTAACAAGTCCAAGTCCTAAAGGCCCAGGTGGTGTAGATGAACAAGTTGGACCTCATTAGGCTAGGAGTATCAGACATAACTGACTGTGTTAAGTCACGGCCGGAGCTCAACGCTTTGTTGCTCTACTTGTCTAGCCCTCCCGGTAAACAGATCAGAGAATTTTCAAAACGGATGGGAATTGCTTCAGCCCTCTAATGTTCGCCTGCGGATTACAGCAGACACGGCAGGTTTGTCCGGCATGTGTTAAGCCATGATTGCATGGGACCAGAGGCGACAGCGCCTCTATCATGGTTGGCGGGACCCTTATGTTCTCTCATGCTGGTGTCTGCAATTTGGTCTTCAGCTCCAATACTCCCTTATCTGGAGGTTATCAGTGCAATCTGCTACATCCCTAACGCCTCGTCCATATAGCTTAAAAAGCTCCCTCACCTTGAAAGTCTCCAACAGTCACTTTTTTGAAAGGGACCCTTTTCAGCTAGAAGGTTTCCTTCCGGCGTTGAGTTGAGTGAGCTATCTAGAAAGCCTATCGAAGGTGGCCGAGAGATACATATACGCACATGGATCGTCACAAATTGGCGATATCGATCGATCTTGTACTGCTCTGGTGTAAAATCCGTGAACCCTCAATATTTTCTCCGGGCAAGCCCAGAGTGAGTTCTAGTCATTCGTGACTCTGCTATATGTTGAGGGTTGTTCCCACCTCCGCACCATGGTGGCCCCCCATATCTCAGTCACACCTGTGTTTGTCTGGTGCAGGGCATCTTAGGATGGGCAGCCCAGTCTTATTGCTGCGTGCTGCCTGGCTGGTGTTTGTGTTTTTATTTGCGGGCGGCTCCCACAACTCGTCAATGAAAAGGAGGGTAGGAGAATGTGTCAGAAGCTGAATGGCTCGCGCCACTTCCCTTTCTCTCTCGCCCGAACCCCGTATGTGCTGAGCCTTGGTCACATAAATAATACTCTCTCTCTGAGGAATATCTCTTCCCTGGACAAAATCTCCTTTCTGGAGAATGGTTTCTCTCTAGAGAGCTTGGTAAAAGAAGGCTAGCTAACGTCTTTAAAACAACTGATTAGAGTTGAAACCTTTGTTCAAATCTATACAGCCATTAGAAATCCGCTCAATATAAGAAGAGGTTTATATATCGTATGTTCAAAAGCATGATGTTAGCGTTCATAGCTAGGAATTAACTAAAAATTAACATCGCTATCCTACTTACGAGCATCCAACCATGCAAACCCGATAATACGACCAGATTATTTCCTCCAAGATATCCTGAATACTCTTTTTAAGAGAGAGAGATATATATATATATATATGGGTAAAGTTACCGAACTGTGGCTGCAATTTTATGGACCACTTTAGTTTCAAAATATCATTGCAAAGGAAACTTGCTTTCAATTGCAGGTCCATGTACATGTACTTGTATGTACTATGGAAGTACGAACAGTTGTATCAGCTAGCAGCAGTAGTTACGTTCTATGTATAGAACAGCTACGCTACAGGATCTTGGGTTGGTGCTTATTGGGAGGCGCATAACTTCTCCTTGTCTGGCTTAGGGCTTCAATTGTGCTGGGAAGAATTATCAGCTTGCCATCTTTCCACGCTACATCTACTCCGCGTACCGGGATTCAAAAGAGAAAAGAAGCTTAAAAAACCCTAAAGTCCTGAAATCCCTACACAATATTTTTTCTTGACCTTGTTTCATGGGACAACAATGGGGAGCAGAGCTAGTGATGGTAGGATCTTGTATCCCAACTCCTCTGAATAAGTAGCATCGACTATCGCACTACGCTAACTGCTGGCGGATCTATATACAGTAACTACTCCGTACTCCGCAAGTTACTTAGTCGAACAAGTCTGTCTCCAATAATAATATACAGAGTAACTACGGAGTACACTCCCCCGAGCGAGAGACCAAAAATGGCCCCGAGCTGAGCGAGCTCAACCAACTCACTAGTTAACTTCTTAACGGTGACTGGCGCCCCTTGTCCCCTCCCATGCATGCCCGATTAATTGTTTCTGCACTATGCACTACGCTACGGACTAAGCGTAACTACGTACTACTGTACGCAGTACATGTACATCCCCATGGCCCTAATTCAGTTACGGCCGGGAGAGTGCGACGCGAGTGAGTGAAGAAGTCCTTTCGGGGATTTAATCTAGCTCATATAAAAAGCCAGACAACTCCAATCCCTGGGGATTTTTCGGGTTTTCTTCTCTCCTCGATTTCTCTCCTCGTCAAAAAGAGATCGGTTTATCTAACTATCTATCTAACATCTACATTATCAAGGCGGTACTAAGACGAAGACCCGGCGTTTCGCCCACGCCCTTTCTCAAACCTCCAACCATGGGTCTCTCTTTTCTGATATCGCACACCCCCACAACGATCGCCCTCATTGCTGTGGCTACGACGGCATGCTCCTATACCGTGTCACGGTTCCTCCATGCTCGGCGGGCATGTCGCGATCTGGTATGTCTGTTATGCCGCAATATATACCAAATACTAGCCCCCGCCAATCTTGCCATCAAGATGTCAATAATAATAATGTAATCGTCGAAGCCGCATTCCTAACCTAATATATTAGCCCCAACCCCCGCATAGCTTCTGGTTTGGCCACTTAATTGTAGCTGGCAAGATCTTTCGGAACTACCCTCCAGATGCCTATATTCACCATCTATTAATCACCATCTCGCGTGAATATGACTTGCCGGACCTCTACTACCTTGATCTCTGGCCAATGGCGAACCCCATGATAGCTGTATGTTCTCCAGAGCTGGCTGCCCAAATAACCACGGAGCAGGCATATCCCAAGGACCCTGCCGTGGGCCATTTCCTCACTCCCTTTTTGGGGAAGAGTTCGATATTATCTGTGAGCGGGCCGAAATGGAAAGCGCTGCATTCTACTTTCGTTCCTGCGTTTGCACCAGCCTATCTACGTTCCATGGCGGGCGGCATACTTGATGAAGTCCTAATCTACCATGATAATCTGTGCCAACTTGCAAAATCTGAGCAGCCCTTCTCAATGGCGTCCGTGGCTATCGAGCTGACATTCAATGTGATCGGACGCGCTGTGTTCAACAGCCCGTTTCACAATGAGGAAGGGAGAAGACTTATGAGGAATTTCAAGAGTGGTTTAGACTATGCATTCAACGGGGCGCTTAGTACTCGCAACTGGTTATTACATATGGTGCCGAAATGGGTACTGGTGTGGAAGGTCAATCGTTACATTGAGAAGAAGGTGATCAGCCGTTTTGCCGAGTTGAAGAGAGAGGAAATGTCGTCCGTCAAGAAATCAAGAACCATTCTGGATTTAGCACTTCGACAGAGACTGGATAGTCCAAAGGGCATCTCCGGTGATAGCGAGTTCATGGAGGTGGCTGTTTCGAAGTATGTACACCTCCTACTTTTCCAATTCCGACCTCTAACATCCCAACCCCCCAACCCCCCTTCTCGTTTCTAGCTTTTTGGTCTTTTCCCTGTTACATTAGCCAAAAAAACCCTCGCTAACATGTACGATTGAAGCATCAAAACTTTTTTGGCTGCTGGGCATGAGACTACAGCTCATACCCTTGGGGTAAGATTGAGGCAATTGAACAAAAGCTCTATATATCCTTGACAAATGTTACAAACACTGACATCCTCGTGCCTGTATAGTATGTGTTTATGCTACTTTCAAAACGCCCAGAGGTAGTGAAGAAAGCTCGTGAGGAGCATGACACCGTGTTTAGCCCAGATTTCAACCGCACTGTTGAAATGGTTAGGGCAAATCCCGAGAAACTTTTCGATCTTCAATACACGAGTGCCATCATCAAAGAAACATTGAGATTATTCCCTGTTGCCAGCGTCGCCCGGGCTAAGGGTGAAGGGTGAGATGGAATTATTTTTTAATTTCTTTTGTGGATATGCAAAACTTTCTTGCAAACGTTCACCCAGCACCAGCTAACACGCATACCTGATCAATTCTAGCATGACCTTCATGTATAAGGGCAAGCCGCTCAATTTGACGGACCAGTTACTAATGATCTGCAACCTTGTAATGCACTACAATGAGGAAATATTCCCCTCGCCCTGCGAATTCCAACCGGAACGTTTCATCACCCAGTCGATCCCCAAAGACGCTTGGCGGCCCTTCGAGCGCGGTGCGCGAAACTGCATCGGCCAGGACCTGGCCATGATGGAAATGCGGATGGTGCTTTTGATCGCCTTGCGTAGCTTCGAGTTCGAAGCGTTGGGGATCAACCCGCACGATAATCCAGCAGCTTCGTATACGACGCTGGACCAGGAATTTGGCGATCTTGTTTATCAGATGCAGTCGCTTACTGCGAGACCAATCGGTGGGCAGAATATGAAAGTGAGGTTTGCGAAGGGGCATGAGGCGTATTTTAACCGCGCTTGAATGGGTTAAGAGAACTACATCAACTATGTAGCTGGATGGTACTAGACTGTGATCGAAAAGATTTCATGGAGCGGCTTCGCGAAGATAAAAATAGTTTTTTAAAAATATTTCTGTAGAATTTGCGTGTGTATGTACGTTTCTACGTTTGCATAGATTCCGCATTGGAATTTCCAAATCCAAGCTGGGTTGGCGCCAATTGCCTCTGATAAATAGTTAACTAAGCTCACCAACGACACTTCAAAACACCTCCTTTGATGTTTGCATATGAGAGAGAGCATCGAACAACGAACAGCTTAATAGAAGATCAATACATATAAAAAATAACACGGTATCGTGTCATGGACACCGCACGGAATATTTATAAACACGATGTGGACTTCGCTGCCCTTGCACTTCAGTTCCCCAACTTTTCCAAACAGTGAGTAGCTTGACAGACCCGCAGCAAAACACCGATTAAAAAAAAAAAAAAAAAAAAAAAAAAAATTGAAACCCGAAATGAAAAAAATAGCCATACTCATCCAATTGCTAACTTAGTCCATCATGATGGCCTATCCCCAGCCTAAAACAGAATAATCAACTCGACTTCACCGATCCGGACGCCGTCCAGTCAGTATAGCAGAGCATACCTGGGTTGGCCTAAATTTTATATTTATATACGTTACTGATGAGTTTAAAAACACCCAGGGAACTGACGAAGAGCCTGCTGAAAAGAGACTTTGATTTGCATCTCGATTTACCCAGTGATCGGCTCTGTCCACCTGTGAGGATGGCCTGGCGAAACTGCCTTGCAATAGGATGATTTACTAATACTATCTATCTATCCGAAAAACAGGTTCCTAATCGGTGTGTTTTCTTTATTTTTATTTTTATTTTTATTTTTATTTATTTTTCACCCTGCGCGAGAAAGATATATTGCAAATTGCCTCTAGTTACATGGATGCCGTTTCTCTAAGAGAAAACAAATGTGTGCTAACCATTTCTTTTTTATTCTACGTTGTTTTTCATCCCTGGAAGCTTCAACTACATTTTATGGCTGCAAGATCTTCTCGATTCCACCTCCGAGAAGTACTCTGATGGATATGACCAGGAGCGAGACGTTTTTGGGCTTGACATGTAAGACCTACTTTACCCCCTTTGGTATACATGCTGCATGTATCCCCTTGAGCGAAAACGGCCGGCCTGATGAGGGCAAGTCAGTTATATATATTTTTTTAAACTTTGTTCTTGCTGACGCTTGATGGACTTAAACTCGGATGAATGCATAGCGGGACCGGAGCTAGTTGCATATACCCTCAGCTTGGATGTGTTCTGAGACCGAAATGGAAATTCGCGGCGACAGGTACGATTTTTTTTTTCTGCCCCTTTCTGCCCGGGCCTATTATCGAGGTAGCGCACGACTAATCGGGGGCCTGTCGACAATCACAGATATCGATGAGAAAAACTTGAAATATGCGCGAGACAATGTGCAGAGGAACAAATTGGATTCTCGCATCCAGATCGTCGAAAGCTCTCCCTCCACTGCGCTGATTCCTTTGGGGGAGATCGGGCTTCCTGAATCGTAAGAGCCCTTTTGTATCCCTTCCATAAAATTTTCTTATAGCCATTGTTTTATCTACAGAAATTTTCATGCTCATTGTATGTATTGTTTTAGGAACGCTAGACTGGACTTCACCATGTGTAATCCACCATTTTACGAATCCCGCGATGAATTGATATCAGCTGCCAAGGCGAAGCAGAGGCCTCCTTTCTCTGTAGGTGGATATAGATCTTTTGCTTTTGTGTTAATGTATCTCATACAATGGATCCTCGTAGCTTCGACCATGTCAGCTTGAATTTGGGCACCTGGTACCAAAAATATTATATTATATTTACAAACACGAATGCATTCATTCACTAACGTTTACAAAAACTACCCAGGCCTGCACCGGTGCAGAAGTGGAAATGATCACAGCCGGTGGCGAAGTCGCGTTCGTCACTCGAATGATTAGGGAGAGCGTCAAGCTGCGCGAGCGTGTGCAGTGGTACACGTCCATGGTAGGGAAATTCAGCAGCGTCGCCACGCTGCTTAACATTCTGCATGAAGAGGGGAATAAGAATTGGGCCGTGGCGGAATTCGTTCAGGGGAGTAAGACGAGACGATGGGCGATTGGCTGGTCGTGGATGGATTATCGGCCTGGAGCTGTGAGGCTTTTTCCCCTGACCCATTCTAATATCTTTCTTTATATATGTTCACCCCCAAGGTAATTCCTCCTTCCACACGTTATTCTAATCCCGACATAAAATAAAACACAGAACGCTGCAAGACCCCAGGGCCAAAGCATCCCAAAACACCTCCTCCCCTTCCCACCTGAATTCACATTCCACTGCCCGCCATCCACGCCCTTCTCCACCACCATTGACGCTATCAACTCTAGCATCGTGGCACTGGACGTCTACTGGCACTGGAACAGCGGCACATCTACTGGTCTCGGCTTCGCTAGAGGTAACGCCTGGTCAAGGCATGCACGTCGTCAGATGAAGAAGCAAGCTATCGAAAAGGCGCAGACGACGATGGCCGGTACTACTGCTCCTGCTGAATATGGTGAGAAGGACAGTAAAGATAGAGGTGCCAAGTCGCCTGATTTTATCCCAGGAAAACAGGATAAGGGGGCTGAGTTTGGGTTTAAGGTGTCCGTAAGGGGGTATATGGAAGGGCAGGTTGATGTGACGGTACGGTGGGTGAAGGGGTTTGATCCCGTGATTTTTGAGAGCTTTTGTGGGTTTTTGAAGAGGAAGGTTGAGAGAGGTGCGTGAATAGTGGTTTTGGGAGTGGGTAGTTTCTGCCGTGTAGGGCGAGTGAGTGCAAGACATCGCATGTATTATTATAGCAGAATTATGAGATGTTTTAGATGGCTGCATAAACTAGCGGGGATGTTTCTTTCTTTTTTTCTCGTTCAACTTTACTATGCGTCGACAAGCACGGTCGTTATACTATTTCAACCAAATACCATCCGCACTTGGGCTTCTCATATTTGCCGGGATTAAGATCGAACTGGGAGTAGTCAGGGTGTGCTGGAGCGAGAAATACCTCGTTGTAAATAACACGGGAGGTCATAGGAAAGTTCCTGCTTGTAAACAAGAAAATAATGACTGCTCCTAAGCTACGATGATAGAATCGTACATTCAATTTCATCGCTGTAACATTTTCATTGCGAGGTTCGATTTTTTAAAGTCCTTTTGGCACCAGAAGTAATCCGGAACTTCACATGAACCATTGCATACGCTAATATTCACCAGCTGTATGTGTGGACATCGGTGATATTTATATCCCTACGATGTCGTTACATTGTGCGATACAGTTAGGGAAATCCAGGCCCAACCAAACCAAGGAAGGCGCGAATTTTCCAATACAAGCTTGCTACTGGGGTATATGTCGTGTGACAAATTGACAACTTTGGTAATTTTTCACGATGCCGAGACCGTTGTCTCCCGTTTCCGTGTGCGTTTTGGCGTTAACAAGGCTCCGGTTGTGCTATCAACACCGGCAAACAACTGCGAGTTGATTGCCAACTCAGGGTCTAATGTTGGGAACATGGGAGGTTTCCTAGCCGGTATTCCCCAGCGAACTATCCAACTTTTCGTTTCTGGATCCTGCGTCATCCGTGGAGTTGCCAACAATACTCGCTCCCAGATGGGTGTGATGAGCTTCCGGGTAATTTTGTGTGGCCTTCCACGTGCATATGCCTCGAAGGTGCGGTCCTTCTGTGGGCCGAAGACCAAAAATTCTGCATCAAGCGCGCTCCTGGTATCATTCGTGTCTAGTCGTTTCCGCCTCTTTGGTAGGAACCACGGTTCCTTTCCCACTGCTAGACCATGTAAAGTGTTCCACTCCTGATCGGGGATCGGGGGTAGAAAGCTTTTGATAACAATATCATACCACTTCTCGGTAGCTTTCTGCACTTTCCTCTTGGACACATGTCCATTCCAAATACTCTTTTTAGGCTGTGGGATCTCGCGGATTGCCGGTGTTGCGTCGATGGAGCTCAGCTTGCGGTTCTCCATCTGCGATTTCAGTAACGCAGCCAGGGAGGGAATAGGTTCCCAACTAGGAGGACACGTTGGGGGTAGGATGAATCGAAACGGGATTTTATCTGCAGATGAATTGGGGACGAAGAAGGGTCGTGCTAGTACATGTCTTCGCCGTCCGATTCGGCCGTATGACAACATGAGCACGCGTTCGAGGGGTTTCATATATCCATCATTTGCTCGGGAGAGAATCGACAAGAGTTTTCTCGCCCGGCGTTCTAGGTAGAACTGCCCATTAGGGCCTCTATAAGAGTTTTGTATCATTCTTGGCTGGTAGCCTCGATAACTTTCCCGGACATGGCTGGACATATATTGACGAGCAATTGGGTCAGGAAGATAGGAAGATTCTCTTAAGAGTGCCCTATAGACATGCCGCCAGTGCGGTGTCTGAGGCGGCGACAGGGACATAGCTATAGTCGCATGCTTCACGATAATGTGCTAACTACATAAGAACATATAAACTGAGGCAGGGGGTTGTCGCCCAAGCTGAGAGGTTCAATGGATGCTCCTCGACAAATGGGCTGCTGACTAAGATCCGCTGCTGAGTCACCTGACGCGGCTCAACGCGAACATCCAAACCGAGCCCCCGCGTCTCAACAAATCCTGACTGCGTGGAATACTGACTGGATACATATTTCGCTGGTGATGGCGGTGTGGTGATCGCTGTGACTCTTAAAATTTGCGTTTGAGTGTTGTCAACCCTCTCCACTCTGTCGGTGTCTTGGGTTATTATCCTTCAATTTCTGCCTCCCTCTGCGGAGTGTAACGTGACCACGCGCCTTTCGGGCCCAACCTTCTTGCTTTTTCGCGCTTCTCCACTACTCCGTACAGCCACACCATTTATGAGATTATTACACACTGTCAGTACGTCAGTGGTCAACCCCGAGACCGTCATCATTCTATGGAGTATCTCAGAATGACTGTGGTTGTGGTTATTGACACTTTGTTTTAAGGAAGAATATAATAGAACCAGCCACCCGCTCATGACCCCCTTGATGGTGTGGACCAATACCAATTTACCGAAATTATACATCATTCATCCATTCATTTTGTCAATTTTATATTCCAAAAGTGCCCCAAATAAAGCGTCCTCATGTCGTTCTCGCGGAATACCCTTGGCCCTTCTGATGGCGCGTCGTCACAAAACCAAATGCCCTCCATCAACGCCGCCTCCCAATCCGTGGCGTCTACCCCAGCTGCGACGCCTCCGCCTAGACATTCACAACAGTCGAACATGTCGATGAGCTTTCCTAGCAATGCGGTATCGCGAAACTCTCTGCAAAGAGCAAGCTTCGGTGGATATGATGATAACAATGGGTATGGCCAGGTGATGCTCTATGAAGAATACAAACCGCAGATATATACAGTACGGAATCTCTCTCCTTTCCCTACCTTCGAATGTGAACCGTATCCTATACGGTGTATCCTCATTCAATGCGCATTGTAAACCACAGCTCATTCATGTGGCTTCTAGGCTGTTTATTCCAATGTATCAGTGTACGAGATGGAAGTAAATGGAGTAGCGGTTATGCGACGTCGTTCAGACTCGTGGCTGAATGCGACGCAAATTCTAAAAGTTGCGGGAGTGATGAAAGCAAGAAGAACCAAGACGCTTGAAAAAGAAGTGGCCGCTGGTGAACACGAGAAAGTACAGGGAGGCTATGGGAAATACCAAGGAACCTGGGTTAATTACGAGAGAGGTGTTGAACTGTGTCGCCATTATCATGTCTTCGAACTCCTGCGCCCTCTTCTTGAGTATGACATGGGCCAGGATGGTACCGGTCCCGCGGGTCGTGGAGCTGTAGAAACTCCAACCAAGGAGCAGGCCATGGCGGCCCAAAGAAAGAGGCTCTACCGGACAATGGACGGGCAAGGGATGAGTCAAACTCAGCAGGGCACGTATTTCCAAAACATCTCGCGCACAGCAGTTAGTGCTGTGAATGCGATAAACAAGGCTCGATTCGATTCGACCATGAGGAAAGGGTCAGGTGGCCGACGTTCAAGCATGAAGGTACCTTCCCAGATGGGCAGCCAGGAGTCGCAAATTCAGCCGGCAAGCCAGCAAAGCTTGCATAGCATTGCATCTGACAGCGGCTTTGGTAGCAACATGCAAAATAGTCAGCAGACAGCTCTTCTTGAACATACAGATGAAGCGGTAGAACCTCCCAGAAAACGCATGCGCTCGTCATCTGCTCAGGAAAAGTCGTTTCAGTCGACAAGTGCCATTCCTCCCCATACCTCGATGATTGAACCGACGCCAACTGAACCCAACGATTCGTTCTATCAAATGCATCCGGGGGACGCCGGCCCAGATGGGCCCATGCGAGGCCTTCACCATCTTCCTGCTGCGACGACCCCAGACAGATACCAGAAAATGAAACTTGTCATGACCTTATTCTTGGATAAACGTGCCAAGGATTTTTCTAACCACCCTGCTTTCCTTAATCTATCTGCCGAGGATTTAGAGATACCCTTGGACAAGTACTACAATAGTGCCCTACACTGGGCGGCTATGCTTGCTCGGATGCCTTTGGTGCATGCCCTCACAGCCAAAGGCGTTAGCATTTATCGTTTGAATGGTGCTGGGGAGACGGCTCTGCAGAAAGCGGTGGGAACTAGGAACAATCTCGATTATCGCAGTTTTTCCAAGCTACTCCACGTACTATATCCTACCATTGAGATAGTTGACTATCATGGGCGGACTGTGCTTCACCATATCGCCATGATGGCTGCGACTGGCGGCGGAGGGCATGTTGCTGCAAAACATTACCTAGAATCACTTCTCGAGTTTATTGTGCGCTACGGCGGACCTGCAGGATCCGTGCAAGCTTCTCTTAATACAACTGCCAATGGTTCTAATGGCCAACATCAAGTTGAGGTAATTGGACTTGGCAAGTTTATGTCTGAGATGGTAAATATCCAGGATGACCAGGGTGACACGGTGCTGAATTTAGCTGGTCGTGCGCGGACCGTGCTTGTTCCGCAATTGCTGGAAGTCGGTGCAAATCCCCACATACCAAACAACACAGGGCTCCGTCCTGCAGATTATGGAGTTGGGGTCGACATGGTCAATGGTGGGCTACAGAATGGAGAGTCAGAGTCGTTTTCTACTCGGCTTTCTAAGACGCGGCGAGAGTTACTTGACTGTTCGTACTAACCCCCTGCCTGTGTAAATGCTCTTTTGGTATCATTTTACTAACTGAGAAGCAGTAACTATTTCTCAAGTCACATCTCTCGTTGAACAATCGTTTGGTAGTATTGATAACGAACTTTCGTCAGGTTTAGGGAGGAAGCAAGAAGAATTCGAACAATGGCACAGAAAAATTCGTGAAAGTGCCAAAGCTAGGCAGATTGAACAGAAGCAATTAGATGACATGAAGCGAAGAGCCAGAGATCGCATCGAACTTGATAGGCAGATAAAGAATCTCGAGCGCGCATCAGAAGAACTAGCTGCACTCCTCAAGTCACTCCAGGGCGACCAGTTCAAGGCAGAAGTTATAAATATTGGCGATGCCGATGACGCTCTTGGGGTTGACATGTCACAATTTAGCACACTTTTCCCGGAAGACTTCGACATCTCAACGGCCGGTGGGTTTTCAGACCAGCAAGTTACGTTCCTCGAATCATTGCCGGGTATTGAAATCCTAACATCCCAGCTTGGATGCTACCGCGATCACAACGATGAAGTATGCAAAGAGCTGGAGAGTCTGAAATCGAAAAATGTAGTCTTGGGCGAGAATTATCGGCGGATGGTCATGGCTTGCACGGGGTGGACTGAAGAACAGGTGGACGAAGCGGCGGACGGCCTGACAGAGTGCATTAAGGATCTAAACGAGCACCCTCTGCCGGAGGACGTTGCGATCGAGATTCTCATGAAGGATCGCGGTCAGGACTGGTAACGACATATACGACCTGGAAACAATTTTTTATTTAGCCGGCATGTGTTTTGGAGTCTTCTTTCCTGTGTTTTCTTTCTCCTTTCCAGTTTATTTTGCTGCTGGTTTTAATTTTGCATATTCTGTACGGGTATATTGTTCCTCCTCCTTTTTTACATTCGGGGCATCGATTTGTGCGACTATTGTACGAATATCACGCAGGAGGGCTGTCCTTTAATCCTGGACTCCTTGTTTAATTAAATATCCCTCGCATGATGGGGAGGGTTTCTGCATAGTTGTGATTGCTGGATGTTTTATGTCGAATCTAGGGAACTCTCTTCGTGGGGTGATGACATCTTATCGCTCTATGTGGTAGTCAGGTAACCAACCACCCGGATGCAACAACAGCAGCCTTTCGCAAGGCCAGTGTCTTTTTTGTTACAAAATCCTTAGCTCCCCCACCACAATGATAGAAAGAAATATCATTATGACCAAGCTGTGGCGCAGGTCATCTGTCTGTCGCAGCCCCCTGCACGCGGCGTTTCAGCCGCCGCCTAGCGCCGTCTCAGCCCTGACCCCCGCCCGCCCCACTCGGCTCCTGGCGCTCCAGAGCCGCAGTCCTCCACACCACAGACCATCGCGATATCATTCCGGAAAACCTTCGTTTTGCACTTGCTAGACGCATCTTTGACAACTTTGCTCTGCTGAAAATCACTCGTAGACGCCTGTTTTACCCCGCGATTCTAAGTTGTCACCCACCCAATGTCGAACTATTACCCAGGCGGAGGCCCCCCTCCGGACCAGTACAACGCCCCTCCCCATGGCGGCCAGCCAGGATACTATGGGCAACCACCACCACAACAAGCACAAGGAGACTATCCTCCTCAGGGTTATCCTCCCGCTGGCTATCCTCCCGCAGACCAGTACCCACAGGCACCGTATGGGCAGCAACCCCCGCCGCAGCAAGGATACTATCCACCCCCGCAACAGCACCAAGTAAGAAACTGCGTATCATTTTGTTCACTTTTATATATCTACCACTTGAAACCACTTAGAAGACAGAGAAAGACATGGGAAAAAAATACCCCAGACAAAAACTACATGTCTCTAACATCAGTAAACCAATCTCTCTAGGCTCCCCAATATGGTTCCCCATCTCCCGCACCGCCCGGGCAGGGCTATGATTCCCGCGGCGGCCAAACCTACGGCACATACCCCCCTCAGCCACCCGGCGGAGAGAGCACTTCTTACTACGGAAACCAACCTCCACCGGCATACAGCGGACCCGGCGGTCCTGGAGGACCCGCGGACGGTGAGAAGGGACTCGGCTCTACCCTATTAGGTGGTGCTGCTGGCGGATTCGTCGGTCATAAGATGCAGGGCGGCATGTTGGGGACGCTCGGTGGTGCTGTTGTGGGTGCGGTTGGCGCAAATGCTGCGTCGCATGCGGTTAAGAAGTAAGTTTTTATTCGTGTCCCCCTTTTCGTCCCTTCCCTTGTTTTTGTTGTGTTCAATCTGTGGGACTTTTAATACGATGCGTTTGATTTAATTTAATTTTAATTTTAATTTTAATTTTTTTTTCTCACAATCGTATAGACATAAGAAGAAGGATAAACATGGGAAGAAAAAGAAGGATAAGAAGGATAAGAAGTATAAGAAGAAGAAGGGCGGGAGCTCGAGCTCTTCGAGTAGCAGCAGCAGTGATAGTGATTAGGCGGGCCTTGGCTGTCCGATATCATTGTCATTTTCGGTTTAATTTTCTTCCTTTCCCTGTTTTTTTGTGATTTTACTTTGTCTCTGGGACTGTCTGGGACTACGGAGGCTTTGATTTTTGTTACCTACATTTGCTACCCCGAGGAGCGGGGCATGTATATATGCGCCCAGGGGGGCTGCAAGTGTATGGATGTATATGTTTATGATCCAAATTTCCCCCCCCAACGACGGGCTAGCTATGTGATATCCAATATCCACTTTTGTATTCGTTTTGTTGTGCTTATGCCATACGTTGAAAAAGTTTGGCTGATACTCTTGGTCAACCCTTGATACCCCATGAAAATTTCTGGGCGCGGGCAATTTTTGCGCTTGCTGAGATGCTGTTTTTCTGAATCACCTGCGGCTGCATGTTTGATCTATCAAACCGCTTCAATCCAACATGTGGGTTGATTTGACAGGTTCTGGGTTGTTTCCAAGAACATCCAGTGTCGGAACATCTAACCAGGCTTTGGAATGCATCGTGTCGCAATGTCGGGAGGAACCGGGTGCCCCATCCACCCCTTCCCACCCACCCTCCGATGATAAATAATGTCGGTTCATGCGCATCCATGTTTGTTATGCGCCGCTCAGGGCTGTGACCCTGTTATCGAGCACAGCCTCGTCTCGGGGTTGGCATTTGTCCACTATTCTACCTAAACTTCCTAAAGCCCATGTTTGTGCGAAAAGTGCTTATCCAATAAACTACTGAGACAGAAAGGATTGATTGCCCATTGTGGAGCTCGACTGGCTGAGGCGCTGCGGTTGTTGGTTTTGTGTGCTTTTTTTCTAGGTGGTCGCTGACCTCAGCTCACAGTCGGTACGATTTTCGCTGGCCCTATTGGCCACCGAGGAGCACGCCAAATATGGCTCGTCTTCAATTCTCCGTTTGGCTGCGGAACTTCTCCTCCCCAGCGTCGATTTTTGGTGAAAACTGGGAATCACAGCGGTGAAAAACGACGTCCGTGCGTTGCTGAACCACAGAGCTGCAAAACCAATGCCCATTGTCTTTCGTGTACGGAGTAAAAACAAGGTGCTTTATTTTGAGAGAAAAGTCTAGGCCTTGTCTCCTTCGGGCTACTAAGCATCCGGCTGCGGGACTCGGTTGTTGAGCTCCGTGGAGTTTCTTGGCAGCGGAGCCAAGTCCTGCCAAGCTCGGCCCGATCCAACAGAATGCGTGAAGTTCTTTGAACAATGGTCATGGTGGCCGGGCTGCTAATATTATATTATTGACCGCTTCATTAACCTTCTTCTCTTTGTCTTCTGGGCCACTGACAAATCTGAAGAGCCCACAACTATTCTCTCTTTCTCTTTTATTTTTTTTGTGTCTCCAATGACTTTCCCCATGGCAAGTTTTTGTTCCATATGACATTGCCCTATTATCGCCTAGCACTTGGCAACATCATCCCTCCGGTGCAGATCGTCGTTTCAGAGATTGCAAAACACACTACGGAGTAGCCTAATCACTTTGTTGCGGGCCAATCTCACCTCCTTACCATGAACATGTGCGAAATCGCATCTGATTTGTGCAAACGAACTTTTTTTTTTTTTTTTTTTTTTTTTTTTTTTTTTTCTTTCTCGTTCAACGGGAGTGGATATGTCATTTCTTCTCCGATTATCCCCCTGAACACAAAGCTCCCTTCATTTCCTCAGACGGGGAGATTTCAAAGTGTTTGTTGAGGGCTGTCCTCTCAACATAAGAACGGTCACTGCCCAGCTGCAGAACGAATCCCAACTGCGGTAACCACGTCAGTCCCCCCCAATTTCACACATCATGAACCCAAAAGAGCTGAGCGTGCAGATTTCCTTCGCCGTCCCCAAAGCACAGGAGGATCGTGACTTTTCCAAGCCTAGGAAAAGTGAAAATGACCTCCCCCATCTCTCACGCAACTCCTCTTTCACGATCGTTGACCCTGAGAGCTTCATTTCAAACCTTCCTTGGCATAGAAGGCTATCTGACCACCTCAAGGAGGAGGTCGATCCCGCGTGGAGTGACCTGCTTCTGTTAGCTTGCTCGTTCGCCAGCGGAGTGATTGATAGCCTAGCATTCAAAGCGTGGGGGAGCTTCGCCAGCATGCAGACAGGTGCGTGATTTATATGTATATATATATGTATATATATATATATATATATAAATATATGCATATCTCCTCTCTGGCAAACCACCCTTGTTAAAACCTAAAATCCAGGCAACATCGTCTTCCTCGCCCTGAGCGTCTCAGGGGAAGAGGCCCCCCCCACCGTCCGCTGGCCCAAATGCCTCATCGCCATCGCGGCCTTCCTCCTCGGAATCCTCTTCTTCATCCACGGGTCCCGCCTCCTCAACCCCCTCCGCCGCTCCACCCTCATCACCTCCTTCACCATCCAAACCCTCGCCATGCTCCTCGCCTCAGCCCTCGTGCAGACAGGCCTCGTGCAACATCAACAAGCGGCGCACGGCCCGACCCCAGGCCCAGGCTCAGGCCCAGGCCCAGACCGCATAGCCTGGATGGAAATGATCCCCATCTCTCTCCTAGCATTCCAGGCCGGCGGGCAAATCATCACGTCCCGGCTTCTGAAAATGGACGAAATCCCCACCGTCGTGCTAACGACGGTTCTCTGTGATTTGCTGATTGATCCGCGGCTGCTTGCGAACCCTAACGCGGCCAGGAATCGGCGAATCGGTTCGTTTGGTGCATTGTTTGTGGGCGCGATGATCTCGGGTCTGCTATCTAAAAAGGCAGGGGTGGCGAGCTCGTTGTGGCTGGCTACGGCGGTTAAAGGGGCCGTTACGCTTTGTTGGGTGGGATGGAAGCCGAAAGAGAATGGTTGGTGACGATTGTATGATATGACACGGGATGTCGATTGAGATGCTTTCGCTCTGGCATATTATCTGACAACGGTTTTGCGTCCAACTGGTTTATTTCACTCTTATCTTTACGTCGTGTTTTCTCTTAACAACCCCTGTCTTGCTCTCACCCTTGTGCTAATCCTATTTAGGCTTAGTGCCAGGTAGGTGGTTTGGGTGGTTGCAACTTTCGAGATAGATAGTAGGGACAGCTTCAATTGCTCAATAGTTCTTTTTACCTCACCGTCGGTTTGAAAGATTGAAACAAAACGTGTAATGAGTTGAGATTGGATGTTAGAGGCATAACCCCCCAGATATGATCTATATCTACAGAAAAGTTAAGGCGACGCACTCTGAAAATTGCGAGAAAAAAAAAAAAAAAAAAAAAAAAAAAAAAAAAAAAAAAAAAAAAAAAGACAGTTACTTCCGATACCAAATCCTCGTAGTCCTCGACTTCACAATGAGCTTCCTGCGCACCACCGATATAGCATACATAAGCGCCTCAGCCGTCGGAGGACAACCGGGGAGGTACACGTCCACGGGCAGCAGCCTATCCACACCACGCACCACACTGTAGCTGTAGTGGTAATACCCGCCGCCGTTGGCGCAGCTGCCCATGCTAATCACCCACTTCGGGTCCGGCATCTGGTCGTAGACCAGCCGCAGCGCGGGGGCCATCTTGTTTGTCACCGTGCCCGCGACGATCAGCAGATCCGACTGGCGAGGCGAGGCGCGGAAGATGGTGCCGAGCCGGTCCTGGTCGTATCGCGGCATGGAGACGGCCATCATCTCGAGCCCGCAACATGCTAGTCCGAGTGAGATTGGCCAGAGGGACGCTTGGCGACCCCAGTTGGCTACTGCGTCGATGCTTCCGCTGTGGGGGGAAGAGAGAACGATGGGTTAGCATGGGATGGGGAATATGATTTTGATATGTTGCAGCAGATGCAAAGGCTGGGAAATAAGGCGATAGAGACAGTAACTAATACAAAAGAACGTATTTTTTTATCTATCCGTCTAAAACGAATGAGGAGAGAGAGATAGCAGTAAAAGAAAAAAAAAAAAAAAAAAAAAAAAAAATCTGTACAGGAAATGTCCCATCGTGCCCGTCTTTTCATCCTGGCTGGGTAACAGCGACGAGCTTCGCTCCATCCTAGCCACGCCCAGTGTGCTTCCCGTTGTCGCTCGAGAGGGGGTCGATGAGGATGAAGCCGTCGCATTGCATCTAATAATAATAAACAATGGCCCGTAGATCGCCGCAGTGGGCGGCTGATCCCACCTTCTTCTACCATCCCGCAAGGCTGGGAAGGAGAGCAGGTTTGTTAGTGACAAGAACTCTTTTACTCTTCGGCCTCCATTCTTCTCGCCCCAAACCCCCCGTGAGTGGTTTTAGGGAGGGATGGAATGATAGTAAGAGGAAGCTGAGCTGACCTTTCGTTCTGGACAGCGCCAGTTTCGCAATATCAGCTCTCAAGCGGCCGTATAGGACTGCCGCCGACATGGGGGGGTAGTAGTAACTAATCAATAAATAATCAAAGGGGGGAGGAGTTTGTTGGTTCAATCGCTTTCTTTGTCTGCAAAACAGGAAATAATATATAACTAATGTCAATATCAACAACACACACACATACACACTCATCTCTCATCTCTCTCTCTTTTTCTCTCTTCTGGGAGACGACGACGGGACGGAGACTCGGCCAGTCGGTTTGCCGCGATCACGTCGTCATGCCTCGGCTGGACTGGGCGTTTATTAGTAGTTGGGAGGAGGAGGAGGAGGAGGAGGAGGAGGAGATGTTATCTTTATCCCGTGCAATTGTTGTTCTTCTTCAAAACCATGAGAGCATAACTTTGATAAACTTGCTAATGTCATTCATTTCTTGATATATCCAGTCCTGATTTTTAACACCGGCTGGCAGTTGAATAATAATAATAAGAAACCAGACAGCAGTAGTACTAATAAGTAGGTTATTTAGCAATCCGCAAGTCGGGCCCCCCTCGAATTATGGACTTAATCAATCACTTAGGCTATGTTAGCAATAATGACCAGACCTTCATTCAAAAAGTAGAAGCAAGCAGCTCAAATTATATGTAACTATATTTCTGCGTAGTGAGATATGTTCTTTATCCTTATAAATCAATAT